TGCTTTTAAACCACTTTTGCCTAAATTACTTGGAATTCTTGGAAAATATTCAAATTCTTTGAATTTGAACAAAATTCAATAACCACTTTGAAATTCTCTAAAGGTAAAGTGAATCAAAGCTTAAAGAAGGAAATTATGAAATTAATGTTAAGGAACGGTTATCTGATTGTGACTAAAAAAAAAAAGGAAAAATTGTCAATACATCTCTCAGAATCTCCAATATGAGAGGCAATAGGCAAGAAAAACTTAGCCAATACCACAAAAATACAACATGATACATAAATTTATCTCATAGCCACTCATGACTATTGTACTAGAATTTCAATATCCAATGCGTATTTAGGTTTAAAAAGCTATTTCAATATTAATTTCAGATTAAAATTTGAATCTCCATTTCCATGTTTTCTTAACTAATATAAAAAATTTAATTTACATCAATTCCAAAAAAAAAAAAAATACAGAGATTTTTTGACTATAAAATATTGAACTAAACTTTTTCTTTGTGGAACTTTTATTAAATCGGAACGGTGCTTTGATATTAAAAAGATTTTTCCGCTCCGTTTCCACAAAATTTCCCGTTTGATCGTTTGATTCGTTCGATATAATCATACTTCCTTTATGGATTATCCGTCCCTTTGCCCACAAATCGTTTCTACCTGATAGCTATGCTGAATTCCACCTATAATCGAATCAGTTTGAATGCCTTTTATTAAACGGTAGCAACGCGGAAAACATGAAAACTTGCTCTAATCAAACGCAGAGAGTTTGAACCCACCACAAAGCAGTCACGAATTCGGCGTGTGCCAAGAGAGCGAGCGTTGAAATGGATTCAATTTGGAATCTCCGCTTTGCGGTCTCGCGCGCTTTGCCTGCTCGCGATCCTTAATCATTTGCAGGCTCGGTGTGTGTTTGTGTTTCAGTATTTCTGTGTTGGCGAGGCGAATGCAAATGAGCAAATTGCACCGCTGCCTTGATTACACCGAGCTGGCGAAGCAGATTATCGACGGCCGCCGGATAAAATGTGGACGAGCAAACACCAGGTCGCTGTTGCTGCCAAAGCGCACACAATGCATTTGTTTTGCTGTTTGATGCGATGTCAGAGCAAATAATGCTGCCGGGGGAAATTCATAATTCCGCGGATTGCTATATCGCCGCCCACGCACATGTATGCAAACAACACAGTGCAAATTCATTCTGGCGTTGTGAGATTTATCGTAGCGGTTGATCGACAATACGGAGCAATTAGGATTGGAGCTTGATTGAAAAGATAGAATTGATCAAATCCATCTGTTGAATTAATAAAAAAGAACATCAAAGGGGAATTTATGGCTGTGAGTGGATTAAAAATGGTCTATTTTTGAAAAAAATAAAAACAAGTTTTGAGATTTTTGAAGACAGTTGTCGTTGAATTGATTTTTTTTTATTATTATGTTTGATTTATTAATAAAATTGAATGTTGCAATAAATTTAGAATAAAATATTAAATTTTTTCCATTCAATTAAAAAAATTACTACAAAACAAATGTATTTGTAAGAGAAAAAAAGAATGTAAATTAAATTCTGTACTCTAAAAAAGTTTCCTTTCCTTTCTAGTGATTGACAATTTGATTGGAACTTGGCGAGAACGGAAATCTTTGTATGGTTGCTTAAAGTAAGTAATTTATAACAGAATGAGAAATCAAATTACTTCCTCTCTGTTTACTTACGTTTCCACCGCTTTATATTGAGAAGGGGTGCTTTTACAAAACTCCAAACTCCCCAAATTTCAGGATCCTCAGTAACATCGAAAAGAGGAATTTGTTTTCGGTTGCCAGGTTTCACCAAATCAAAAGTTTGCTCCGATTTATTCCAAACAGGGAAGCCTTTGCAGGTCGCGACTCGATCGGAATGATCAAATAAAGTGCAACACCAGTGAGTGAGTCGGTTGATCAAATACACGGTGAGTGTCAACGTTTATTTTCAGGCTGTCGCTTTTGATATGCGAGTAAATATGAACCGAAAGGTATACAATGTTTTTTGTGAATTTCGGAACAGCTTCCACTAACATCGCAGCTCATGCCGTTTAATCAAAAGTCGTCTAAACAGACGGCAGAAATTAATTCCTAATTGGCAACTACAAGTTGAAAAGTGGCGCTCGCTTTGCTGCCTCCTCCGCAGAGTTAATTTGCTCCAGAAACGTCGTTGCCGCGCTTTTTTCCATAAATTCCCGCGTCCCTGAGATGCTGTTAATTAACCTAGGACGAGCAGTGCGCCGTTAAGTTTTAATTAGAATGACTGCTCTCGCAGTTACCTTAAGGTGCGCCGGCCTGAATATTTTCTTTTAAGACCAACTCGTGGTCTTTTTAAAAGTGTTAACATATGAATTTAATAAAGGTATCCTCACAAATTTTAATTAACATAAAAGTAGAGTTTAAAAAAAAAACTTTTAAAAAATTATATGAAATTCTGGAAAATTTTATATTAAGTCTTGGTCTAATTGTGAGAATTTTTAGAATTCTACGAATGAAAATGATGCAACCTGCTGGGCATGATTATCAATAAGTTGTTTAATTATGCGCAAAATTATAATCATTTTTATTTGTTTGTTATTTAAGAATGACCTAAAACTTTTTGAATTTCTTCCTTCAAATTTTATATCCTTAGAAATTCTATTAGGATTGGAAAAAATTTACAAGTGGCTCATTTGAAAGTGGAAACAACCCTTTCCAAGTAAATGGTCTTGGGAACAATTTGCTAAAAACACAAACGGCCGTTTCGAGAGTCGATTCCGTGGCCGTATTTTATTAAGCGTGACGGGCTCTTTCTCGCAGTCCCAAAACGATTCTCAACTCTCGGCTTAATAATAAATCCCGATGAGGGCGGCTTTCCGAAAAGCGGGCGGTCCAAGTGCAAATTGATATTTGCCCAAAAGAGTCGGTCGGCCCGTTTCAATGGCGATGTTGTTGCCGCCGCCGAGACCCAAATCATTTCTCGCGCGTTTGGATAAAGTGATTGTGCGCCCATTCGTCCGTTCTTTTGATGGATGTCGGTGTGAAAGCTGAGGCTCGGGGGCCACTTTGGCCCGACCACATTCATCGCTCAAAACCCGCCGCCCCGCTTTAACTAACAACCAAGACACGACTTTTCTCCTTTGTTTCGGCCGGCGTACGCAAATCTTGCGGATTTGGAATTCGTTCCGAGAACACGCTTTAACTTTGCACACACACAATCCTTTTTCCTCCTGCTCGCCACCACCGCCGAGAGGGGCTTTATAGCGGCAAGGGGTTGGAAAATCGCACTCTCTTGCGCACTTTGTGCTAATTCGCACGTTCCCCCCGAAAACAAACGTTTGTTGCCTGGAGAGGTGAAATTTACTGCGCGTAATCTTGCGTGGCTTCATATTTGCTCGGAATTGTGTTGGGGAGAATAATGGACCCTTTTGTAAAGTTCAAATCTGTACAGAAAATTTCAGATGAGGAAAAGTGGATTCAATCAATTTCATATAAAATATTCTTCAGTTCTAATATTAGATCAAATGAGGCGGCTTTCTGATCTCGGAGGCTTCAGAAATATCTTTGATGGTTTTTTTTTTTTTTTTTTTTAATTTCAAGTTACCCTCAAACTAATATTTTATTCCTCGAAAGTAAAATTAGTGTAAACTATCTGGAATTCAAAATAAAATTGACGAATATAATTTTTTTATCAAGCAAGATAGTAAGACTGAAAAGGGTGAAGAATTTCAAAGTCAAATAAAATGATCCGTCTCTTTTTAAAAGAAGAAAAATTCAGCAAGGAGTTTATTCAAGATCTAAATTTCATTGTATAATTTTTAATTCTAAAAGCACTTAAAACTTAAAGAGGTTTTCGTATTTGATTTTCTTCTTTTTTATCATCTTCACTCCAAAAACACTTTCGTCAATTTAATATTTTTCACAAATCTGAGGTATTGGAAATTGATCCTAAACTAAATAATTTGTTAATTTTAAGCCCTAGAGCTTATGAGATTTAAAAAACAATTGGATGGAAACATTCTGATTTTCTCAAACAAACAAAAGTTATTTTGGTACGTTTCGAGAAATACGCTTCTAATTTCTTTGTGATATATATTTCTGATTCTTTTATAAATTAAAGAAGAGAATGTTTAAATTAAGTGAATAATTTCACGCTTTATATTTTATCTTGAGAGTTCAAAAAGAACAAAAGCTTTTGAAGAAAAGAAAGGGGAATCATTTAAAAAGGAAGAAATCGAAACCCGATGAAAGAGTATCAATTTAGATAAATTTCTCCCCCACGTTTTTTATATATCAACCAATTTTTCCTTCGTTCTCCTTTTCCACTGACCCGAAATGAAGCACGCAGAAAAAAACTTGTTTCGCGTGCAGCTTTCTTGTGTGTCGAACGAGAAATATCACTTTTCCGCCGGGAATTCGCGACGGCCAATATATAGGGAAAAAAGTGCGCGGCCCGTTCATATTATATATATTCGTATTTTCCTCGTCTTTCTTCCATTTCTGGTGAAACCCTCTCGTCTCTGTGCGACTCAAATCGAATTCGGCTAATGGCTTTTCCTTAACTAAGGAGCGACGGGGAGAAAGAAAGTCAGACTTCGGATTGCTTTCAGTGACGATGACAGCCCTGCTGGGAATCCGTGTCGCCGAATGAATGCATTGAAAAGACGCACCCTATCTATCCATCTCTCTCCGTGCACACAAGTTTTTGGTCCTCGGAAAACAGACCTGTAATTAAGGAGAGAAAAGTACCGGTCGCGCTAATGGCCTCACTTTTTGCCCTTTCGCCCCGTGTTAACGCATCGGGAAAAAGCGGCCGAGAGGAAAGAAATTCCGTGGCCAAATTGCTTTTTAATACACGAGCCGCTCGGCCGAATTTAATAAAGATGAAAGGAACAATAACGGTATTAGTCCGCGTACTACATAAGCCCCTGCCCGCCTAAATTAAAAAATAATAACACAAAAGGGGTCGAAAAATTAATGAGTTGGCAGAAAAATTAAAGCAGACCGTACCTGTTGTCTTTTAATCCAAAGTGGACGCAAATCCGGCGGTCTCACGACGATTTCATTTTGCGGTCACTTTTGTCACTTTCAACTCGGATGCTGTGTTGCGGTTTCTGCACCGACTGACACACACCTTTTCCACCGCGAACGACTGCAAAAGAGCGTCACTCGTAAAAACACTGCTGATGCTGCACGTTTCTTTCTTCTTGTTTTTTATTCTCTCTGATGGCAGGGCCGATGGAGAGAGTGAGTGAGTGAGAGGTAGAGCGCGTACTTTGGTTCCAGGACGGGAGTTCGGCACTCGCTGCCAGCCGGAATGCTACTGCCGGGAAGAGCGCAGGCGGTCCTGCCGCAATCGCCCGCTGCTGCAGCGCCAGCCTGCCGGCAACACGCACAACAGGCCAGATGTCGCCACTCGACGATGCACTTCTGCCCCCCTTTCACTACCCCAATCAGTTTTTCGGTGCGCTTAATTAGTTTGCTGAATTAGCGCTTCATTTTAATGTTTTAGCGCCCCTAGGAAAAAAGTAAAGCTAATTTGAATAAAATTATTTGTTGCATTAAAAGATTTCAACTAGGTTTATATAGTATTGTATAAATTTTACTTGTCTTCATTTACATAGATGAGCAAAACTTTTAATTAATGATTATAAAAAAAAACGAAGTGCAATTAAGTTTGGATTTTCAATTATTATTATAATTAATAAACATCAATATATGAGAGAATCTTGCTTACCAATAAGTTCAATTTTCTATAAACATTTGATTTTGCTTTATCTAAGTTTGAAACTTTTTAGCAGACAAATTTATTTCTGTGTAATATTAAATATCAGATATGTATATTAGCATATTATCGTAGTTATTACACCAAAAATTTTTCAATCCGCTTTCAAATTTTAATGCAAAGGATTTGATACAGGGGTTAATTAATTTCTAATTGCAATCATAGTTATTAATAATTTTTATCAAGAAAAAATCTATTGCTTGTAAATGAATTTAAATGTAAGTCTCGAAAAGATTTTAATACTGAAAATAATTTTGGTTTTAGTGATTTTTAAAATATATTAACACAACTGTTAGATTTACAGTGATTTACAGATCTTAAATTTTTATTTTACCAAAGGGCTACTCTAAAATTTTGAACACTCACAAAAACGAAATGAAAATATATTTTCTGATTTGAAATTTCCATTGCAACTAAATCGAACACGTAGGCGTGTACGTATGTGTGCAGGGAAATCGGCAAAATAATAAAACGCTTTTCATGCTCGCAATCGAGCTCATTATTCACATCCAAATACCACACACGGCCCTCCATTCTCTTATTCTCTCTCTCTCTATTGCGCCGCCGGACGAATACAATACGGCCCAATTCGTTTGTCGGCGGTGGGCACAAAACAGCTCTCGAATGGGCTACATTCATTTGGAGCGCGGCGGCGGCGGTGGAAACAATTTCCTTCGTTCTTTCAGGTCGTTGCCCATTCCATTACACACGCTGTCGTTTTTTTCCGCGCGCAGCACAACTTTTCAACAAGAGAGAACGAACAAAATGTACACACAAAATTTCTTATTACACGTCGTTTTCCCGTCGGTCGCTGCAATATTACAGCACTAGCTGGAAAGTGCAAAACACACAAAGAGCAGTTTTTGGCTTTTTTCTCTCTCCCTCCGGTCGGCAAAGGATTTTTAAAGCAACAGGGCGTTCTCATAAAGCAGTCGTGAAATTAAAAATTGAGATTAACCCGTCGCGTGCACCCGTAGTCTTGTAAGCACCTCTGATATTAAATATTTCATCTCGAAAAAGCCGTCTTATATGAGAGGGTGGAAGAAAGAAAGAACTTTTCCCCTCTTAAAAAATAAATCTGCGAGGAAGTTGAAATAAAAGTCCATGAATGCGTGTTTGACCACTTTTCGAAGGGTTATGAATGTGTAAAAATGGTCGGTTATCCAAAGACAAAGGATAAAAAGATCGCCCAAAAGCTTTTCGCACTCTCTCGATCTTTTCTCAATTAAGGCGAGTCAATATTGGAGTGAAAGGGGTCGTGCTTGAGACGGTTTGTTGATCAAGTGCTAATCAATTCAGAGGCCCGGGTGGAAGATGGAAAAAGCGTGAAAGCTCTTTCAACTCTGACCTTCTCCGCGTTAAATTGATTCATCATCCATTCCAAAAGCTCTTTGTTGGAATTATTTTAGTTTTTGTCGAGAGCTTAGCAAAGATTGAAAATTGTCTCAAAACGTAAAATTAATTATTGGGCAGGATCGGGCAAAAAAGGAAAATAGTTTCTCCTGCGGTTTGATGGTTAAATTTTAAATTTAGCCTCAAGTACTTCAAGTAGCCTATTAAAATGCCCGAGAAGATATTATTTTATTGTAAATTTATTAACAAATTTTATTTTTCTAGGTGATTAAATCAGTTTTTTTTTTAAATTTGTAAACCCATTCAACACACCATCAAAGATAAAAAAAATATTTTTAGTTTAAAAGTTAGTTATGTTATAATTAAAAAAAAAATTAATATGTATTTGATTAAAAAATAATTATGAACCGTTTTTTATATAATTAAATTTTTTATCAATATTTTTATTTAAAGTTTAAAAAATTTAAAATTTGTCAATGCTTTTATATTTCATTTTGAATTGAGACCTCAAAATCATTTAAAACTTACGTGTAAAATCTTTTCAATAAATATTTATATGTAGTTTTGTCAATCAAATCAGTAAATTACGTACGATTTATCTGGCGATAAATTTTTTTCTTTTTATGGCCTCCGAAACGTTTTATGTTGAATCGTGATGAAATATAAATCAGAAAAAATCTTATGATTCTTTTTAATAATTTGATCATCTTTGCTCAATTATTGTGCATGTTCTTGATTCCGTTTTTAATTGAGCTTACATGGATGCAATTGACCTGATTTGAAGACCAAAAGGTGACACACAAAGTGAATCTGCCGGCCGATTGAAGTCATTCGCGCTCAATTGAGGGTAGAGAACGAGCAGTTGACTGGCCTTTGTGAGGGAATCTCAAAGGTCCGCAGCTGATGTGCTGGACGAGCTAGACGTTTTCTTTGCTGCTCGTGGATTGCTGTGGGAATTGAATAAAACAGAGATCACTCTGCTACATGTTTAATTTAATGAGGTGCACTTGAAGTGTGTGCAGCACTGCAGCAGCACACCCTTCAACTCTTGGTTTGCGCAATCGAGGAAGATATAAAGAGAGGGCGGAAAGAAGAGGGGTAAAAAGGAAGTTGACTCAAGAGCTTTCGTTCCTTCATCGGTGAATTTCATTTAACGAGACGTGACACTTGGGAGTGATTTTAATGAGTATCAATATCAATAAGACGTGATTATTTCTGAATATTCAAATTTAATGTAGTTGTTTATTTATTTATTCATTCAACGTTCATTAAAAATAACAACGCAATAACATTCGTACAAAAATAATGCTGAAACTCAATTGATTAAAATTAAAATATATTGCCATAATGGCTTTTGTTCATTTTGTTATAATTTTAACTTATAATACTAATTGATATCAATTGTTTATTTAAATTGTTTTTAAAAATAATTAAATGATGTTCCAAAATTTGCATTATTTATGTGCAAAATAATTTTGAGCTTATTTAATTATTCAGTTATTCTTATCAAAAATTGCTGCTTGTTAAAAAAGTATGTGACTAAAAAAAAACGTGCTTCAGACAAATGCTCCCTGTTTCCCGCATCAAAAATAATCACAATCGATTTCTTTTTATGTGCCAGTAAATTTAATTTCCAGCATTTCATCACATCTCATGACTGCAAATGAATCAAACGGGCGTTCGTAAATTTGGCGCAAATGAAAATTGCAAATCGCTAACCACCAGCAGATTTGGCCGGCGCGAGCTTCAAACGCGTATTTCCCAATTAAACCAGCCGTCGATCGATGCAAAACATTGTTCGCAGCAGCACAAGTTGTCACAAATCAATCGCGCGTGCCGCTGAAAATGTGCAAATCCCGCGTTCGCTGCCCGTCACTCGACGCGGCAAAATTTAATGCGTCCCCTCTGCGTTGTGTGCTCGGTTTTGCGAACAGCATTTCCATTTCACACATCAAAGCGTTTCGAGGGCAAAAGAACGAAACCCTGATGTGCATTCAAATCCAACGATTGGCGGTCGGACGAGGAACAAAAATAATAATAAACATACACTCGCCTCTGATCAAAATTTTTTGGCTTAACAAAATGAATGAATTGTTCCGTGTGGCATTATTAGCTGTAATTAAATGCCTATTGTTGGAAAAAACAAAGCGGCTGAACAGCCCGGGGGGAAAAGTTGAAAACATGAATATTCATAATTGGCATTTTTTGTTGCATTGTTATTTTGTGGCAGCTCAACAGCTTCAGGGGCGGCCGATTCTAGATTATAAACAATACTGAATTACGCTGAAGAGCTACACATATTTCACTTCCTTTCAATATAAAAATAATATTATCAAGCCACTCTTTTATTGATAAAAATAGTTAAAATACATCGTAGATATTTGAAAAGGTAAATATCATATTTTAATGTCGAAAAATTGTGTAATGGCATATAATTTTTATATAAAGTTTTCATTGTTTTAAAATATTATTTTTTTATAATTTACATAATATTTATAAAGACATTTGATTTTAATTTCTTTTTTCCTTAATAAAACACATTTTATATTTATAAATAATGTTCAATACTTAATATTATTTAAAAAAAATAGCTTCATAAGGAATGAAAAAATTAAATGTACTTTTTTATAAATACTGAAGGTTATCTAACATTTTGCCAACAAAATTTTTTAACATGACATTTGCTAATCCCACTGGGGATGAAATTTGTGATCTCATTTGCACCAGATGACATTGAATGTAAAATAATACAAAAATTGAAATAAATTTTATCAATTCAGTTTTATTAAGAAAGGATGAAAGTAAAAAAATATTCACAAGAAAATAGGAACTCAACTTCCAGAATGACCTTTGCCTTTTTTTTCAGAAATATGTACACAGTCGAAATGGACTCTGTCAAGAGAAAAATAAATTAATCTCTACTCCCTCTTTTGTTTGACAGAGTGGGCAAAGTGTCAAAATCGGGGAGCCGCAGGATGGATGTATTTATATGTCATCAGTCGGCGGGGGTCTATGCGATGATGGATGGGGGCGCGAGATTTTTCACGGCTTGGTCGCCTCAGTCGCTCTCCAGTGTTGCACCATGTTCGCGTTACACTGCGACGCCTCGACGATGTCGACTGTAACTTCAGAAGTGCCGCAACTCGAACTCGGTCTCGGCTGTTCTTTCGAGCCCTCTGAAAATAGAGATTTCACGCTTCTTTGAGCAACTGAGAGCAGACGCCGGCATTCCTTCCTTTGTTTGGTAGAAACGAAAGACAGAAAGAAAGTCTGGCGAAAACTTTCTACCTTTTAGAGAATGAAAGAAGAGAAAGTTAAGGACAATTTTTCCTTGCTTGCGTCTCTTTTTCTCAAATGAAATTAAAAAGAAAAAAAAATTGTGCGACCAGAACTTAGGGATTAGGGAATTGTTTATGAAAGTGGAAAATTCTAGTCTCATGAATAGAATGCAAATAAAAACAACAAAAACACACTGCATATTTTTAACGTTTCTGAAAATTTCTCATTCTGAAACAAAGCAAGAAAATCATATTTTTGCAACAATTTTTTAACTTTATATTAAACAGAAATTAAAATCAAATTTATTTCTATATTTGAGAATTTCAATTTTTCATTAAAGTTGTTTTGGTTGATATAGTTTTATCTCAAACAGTTTAGAACCCCAAGTTAAATTGATTGACGAAGTTGCAAAAAAAAAAATAGTATCAAATAAAAATTAAAAAAATGAAGAACTATGCAACATGCTCAACAATGATGTTTCGCAAGTTGCCTAGCTCTGGCACGTCGATCGCCGTCGATCAAAGTGCTCAAGTCAAAACCAAAAGGCACTTTTCGGCTGAAAAAGTTGTCGTGAAAGTGGCGGAGATTTGGCAGCAAAGTGCCGCATTTCGGTTGCAAAGTTGCCCGCCGGGGAGTTGGTCGGTTGTTTCGAGGCTTTGCGAGGGCAAATTTACTCACCTCTTCTGAGGAAGATCTTCTCCAGGCCCAGAATGGGCGACTCAAACATCAAGGAGAGGCCGAGGGCTGCGAGGAATGAGACGACGATGTCGCCGCACGTAAACCACACCTGCGACACGCAACAAAACTATGACTTTAGTTCTGAACTTGTGCCAAAAGACACTAGAAATGACTAATTGCCTTCGCTAAAACATGAATTTATATAGTTTGATAGAGGAAGAACAAAAGTAAAAAGTGGCATTCAATACACTATTTACATAATAATATGAAAAAATATTGAGAGAAGAAATTTCTTATTAGTACGATTGAATTGAATTTTCACAAAAGTTTGTTTCTTAACATGCAAAGTTTTAAAATTTAATAAATAAAAATTATTTATTTTTTTTGGATTTTGAATTATAAATTAAAGTTTTTGTTTTATTTAATAATAGTTAATTATAGAACGACTGAAAAAAGGATTTACTTAATTATCTTTGCCGTTAGTTTATCATATTTACAAAGTTTGTTACTTTCTCAGTTTATTGTTTACAGAACTCAGTAGCCAACTCATTGTATCTTTGTTTGCAAAAAAATATAGATATATAAAAAAGAATGGTCGGACTTTGGATCTTCCTCGTTACTATCTTTTTTAGCGAATGCGGCGGGCAAACAAGCCACGCAGACAATTCGGCGGAAAACACCACTCAATTTCGCCAAAAGCGGCGGGCTCTGCGTAAATAATGCCCTTTTTTCATTCCTTCTTTTTCCGAATCTCTCTTTCTCTCTCTCTCTCTAGTCGTCGGCAAATATATCATGTAAAAGCATCAGAGAGAAATAAACGAAATAACTCACGAGATTGTAAACAGAGCCGTAGAACGGGTTGCCACTGGAGGCGACCGAGTAGAGCTGCAACCCGCCGTGCGCCAGGAACGCGCAGTACGTCAACCTGCTCAGGGGCACGATCGGCCGCCAAGTCAGAATCGGCTCCATGAAAGCTGGAATTGAAAGAGATACAGGCACGGTAAGTAAGTGAATGTGGTTTATTGAACTTCCTTTGACATGCAAAAAGTACATCAAACTATAAGAATAAGAAGAACATCTTGTTCCAGAAAGGAAGGGTTAAAGGGAAATATGAATGTCATGATTGTATTTATCAACTAGTTTTCTACTTTCTTTTTCTCGGAGTGAAGTAGAGAAAAATATTTAATTTCTAATGTGTCCATAGACCTCAATTTTTCCTCAACAAGATCTTTTTTTAAATTATTTGTTGAAAAGATATATTTGTAGAAACAAGTTTGGGCCAACTCTTGACCTATTTCTGATCATTCCGGTATTTTCAGCTATATAAAATGAATAAATAAATTCTATTCCCATTCGGAAGTAAAACAATTTTTTTTTTCATTCATTTTTCTTTCGAATTAGGCATCGGTGGACAAGCGTTGCGTGATTGCAAAACATAAAAACGGGCGATCGCTCTCAAAACATTGGTTGATCTGGCAATAATAAGTGTAATTTATTGCCGCCCACCAACAACTCTTCATTCCAATATCCTGTTAAAAATTGAAAAACGTACCGACGGCGAATTTATTCATTATTGACACATTTCGCTCGCTCTCTCGCCGACATTTTGCACGGGAAAAAAATACGCAACAGCGATCATAAATTTTTCGTTCAAACTCGCGCCGGTGAACACTCTTTTTTTTATTTATTCAGCAGGCTGCCATCATTTCCTTCCTGCCAAATAATCGACGCGCGTTTTTGGCTCTTCACTCACGATTCGTTTTTCCGCCTCTCTCGACAAATCGACCTATTTTTCCTTTCTCTATTCATCGCGCGAAATGACTCTCGCGCGCGCGTCAGTTTCCATTCGCGAGAGCACACATTTTCGGCTGACACGACGCTTCCTTGTCAGCTCCCGCGGGAACAATGGATGGAAAAAAATATTCATGGAACATTGGAAAAGCTGTGCGAATCGGTTTTTGTTTCACGCCGGTAATTAACAGCGGGGCCTCTCACCTGCCTTTGCCGCCACGTCCGTCTGTCACCGGATTTTCGCGCCCTGTCAATCACTGCGAATTTCCGTTCGTTTGAAACCTAACCAGACACTGTCGTTTGCAATTGAATTGGACTTGGGTATAAAAAAGTTGGAACTTTCGAGTCGAATTAGCTAATTGGTCTTTCGGCTCTGGTTAAAAGAAAAGCGCACCACTCTTTTGTGGGGGGAATCAGATTGAGTTGAAGCAACGTTTGGCGCCGGGTTGAGTTTGTTTGTTGTTACAATGTATTTATGTAACAGACACTCTATACAAAATCGTGTTCCGCAGCCAAAAACACGCTCACACCAATCGATTGGAAATGCCTAGCACTAAATTTTGCCACTTATTCTGATCAATTAAATGGAATCAGTATTTATTTTAATAATATTAATTAATTTAGTATTTGGGTTCTGTTTGTTATTATTATGAAAATTAAGTTTTTTGTGTGTTTGATGAACCGCAGGGCATTTATGCCAAAAATGAGGTATGTCATTTATAAATTCAAAAGCATCCAGAAAGCATATTATACAAAACATTTGTTGAACTGGATTATATTTTCTTAAAAATTATTTGTTTTTTAACAATTTATATGCTTGAAATAAATAGAGGTGTTAATTAATTGCAATTTATTACTTTCATCTGAGCTGAAAAAAAATTTTTTTTTTAAATTTTCCTCCAATTTGACGAAAACATTTTCTCATACAATTAATTACACAAATTTCCTCTTATTCTAATCCAAAATTCATTCGCCCACCTTACCAACCAATCCATATTCAAAATTCTCGTTAAATAAATTCAAAATTATGATCCATCCATACTTTAAAAAGCTATAAATTGATTGATATTCTCGAAATATAAACATATTTTTGGAGTGAAACGCAGCTTTTTTCAATCAGCCAAACCGATGGTGTGTCATTTCCCACCGCGGCGGCGATGGGAAGCGTCGTCCCGCGGCGCCAATTTCCGCCGAAATCCACCACCACCGAACTCTGGTATATAAATATGGCAGAGACACTCACCTCCGTTGCCCGTGGAGATGGCGAGGATGAGCCAACTGGTGCCGACGCTCCACGTGATCCGGTGGAAGGCGCCGTAGAGCGCGTTGAGCAGTGCGTTGTACTCCCTTCCGGGCAAGTAGAAGACCCACGCCGAGAAGATGGTGCCCTCAATCAGCACCAGGGCCACCACCCAGCCAAGCCACACGCCGATCTGCAAACAAGAAAATTCGTTCTTATTTCAGCCCCGATGATTTTTCGTGCATGCGGATGACAACTCGAAAGTGGCCGAGTAAGCACAAAATAAAACCCTCTTTTGAATTTCAGCCGCGTATACAAATTGCGAGCACGCGCTCAGAATATTGTGTGTATCCGCACCAGAGCCATTTGCGAACGGCAAATCTGCTCCCAGTGGCAAATGCGACTTTTTTGCGACCCGCGAGAACCAACGCGTCCGAGCGTGCCAAAACTCGTGCGGGCGGCAAAAGAGATTTGATCGGCCAGAGTGATAAAAACTACTTGTAAACAACTCTGTTTTCTGCATAAACACATCAAACGGCAGTTTTGGATTTGAAGTGCCATTTGGATATTTTGCATGTGCAAGAATACTAATACTTTGTATTCATATAAAAGGAAAAATATATTAAATTAACATTAAATTATTCCTTTCAAACCAAATGCAGAAAAAACAAAAAACATACAATTAAAAAATTTTATGTAATGCTCATTGGAACCAACAAAAATATATTAAATTTTATACTATTTAAAGCACATATCCAGAAAAAAACTAGTTTTTGCCAGTTTTACGAACCCCAGAATTTTTAATTAATATTTTTGTATGTGCTATTTCTTGAATTAATACAAATTGCAATAAATTACAAAGCTAAATCGTTCCCTTCGAAGTAAAGCAAAAATTAAACAGGATTGTTAACACCCACAATCAAACGCAACTTCACGTATATAGCTTTACATTTTACGTGCCATTAATAAATATCTTGAAATTGATATCCGACATGCAATCAGGGAATGTTAGGCAAGACCCTGTGAGATCCGATATCGCGGCGCGAAACGAGTAAAAAATGTGTTCTGCTCTGCGTCGCGAATGATTTTCGCCTTACCTTAGGCAACTTGGTGTCGTTTTTCTTGATGAGGTATCGCAGGTAGCCGGCGGCCATGCCGATAAAGTAGGGACTCGCCCTGGTATGAGTGGGAATGTACATCTCGCGGAAGGTGTTGTTGGCAATCGGGTCACTGAGCGTTCTGCAACACAATCGATAAATCATTACATTTGCAGTCGTCTCGTCTTTTGTCAGCGCACCCAAGCACTGCCGATTTTTTACCCCAACCCTGTCACAAGTATTAAGAGATTTCGCTTCACTGCAGCAAAGGATATACGACCTCTCTACGACCTACGCGACTCTTCAATGCACAATGGAGTTGCAATCTTACTTTAAGAACTGTTTCACATGCATGTAAGGTAGGTGAATCTCAACATAAAATGTGCAGTGAATTCTACAATAAATCAAATCAAGTCAAACCAAAGAGAAAATTCTTTGAAAGTAAAGAAAGGTATTTTTTTTTGTTAACACATTTTTTATAATTTTGACTAATTTAATTGGAACATTTCAGACTATTTTTTGGCATTTTTCTGTGGAAAAAATTGAAACATTAATTTTTAATTAAATAAAACTAAAATAAAAAATCAAATTTCATCATCAAGGAGTGTAGCTGTTTTTTTTCATAATAATTAAATTTTGACTCCGTTTTATTTGGCCCTTTCAATTTGTTCAGCAAAATTCAATTAAGGCAGCACTAATTACCTCCAATTAATTAATTATTATGTCTCAAATTGTCGTTAGCAAAGCGTTGGAAATTGAAGACGAAACAAAACGAGAGCGCGAGATGAAAGGAGCAGCACAGCCGGCTCCATCCTTTTCACTCTGTTATTACTCTTCCGTATCTGACGGCTGCTGGCTGAACGGAAGCTGCGCCTTTTCGCTCTTTCTTTATTCTCTCCAGTGCACATAATTTGCTTATTATTGATGTTGGCAGTCTACCGGAATGATGATTTATTTCAACTCAAAGCCAGATGAAGTGAAAAATCTCTTCTGCTCGCGCCAGCAGATGAAAGCAGCCTAACGTGCCTCTCTTTGTATGGAAAAGAAAACACGGCGTTCCGTGTGCTGCAGCGGAATCTTTCATTTTCAGTAATGAGCCAACATTGCAGTGAGAAAGAAAAATGAACAAAGGAACACGCGTTCGAGTGGAAATATATTAAACTGCATCGCAGGATCAAGAATGAAATATTAAAAAACTATTTTCCGAAGGCTATAGAAAATTTTTCATTTTTAGAAAATAAAATTGCTTCTGAAAAATATTAGATATCTACAATAAATTAAAGAAAATCCAAAAAGTGAAACAAAATTGAAAACGTCGCCTAAATAGACAATTTACGGCTAAAAGTCACAATTTTTCAGTTATAAATCTCGGAAACTTGCAAACAGAAGTGCAAACCAAAACTTTTTAAACTTTCAAAACAGTATATTATTGGAAATTTGAAAAATAATCAAAATTATATCAATTTTCCTATACTATTGTACAGAAAAGAGCGCGTATTATGCATAATAATAAAAGAGTTTGCAAAAAGTAGGTAAGGGTACCAGAGTTTCAGTGACGTCTTCAATTTTAGCACTGAAGCACCTCTCAGAGAAAAGAGGGGTGCACATAATATCTCGCAAAAAAGAAGCCGCGACTCATACAAAGTAGCACGTGGGTACTCTCTCCGTCGGCTGCGGCTGTGAAACGAAACCCTCGGCTGTCTGTGCAGTGCCTTGATTAAAAGACTAGCTAACTAGCTGAGCGCAGAGCACCACCTAATTACTTTATGTGAATGACTGCGCTAATATGAGGCCGCAGCGCCGCCGACGGGGACGTTCACCATCGCGAAATTACTCAGGAAGTATTTAAAACAAAATTAAATTTAAAAATTAAAAATTGAAACCAACAAAGATAAAAAGTAAGAAAGAAGTATTTTGTTAATAAAGAAATTGTTCATATTTAATTTTAAAACTGAGTCCTCTGGTTTTGGTTACAGTAAAATATAATTTAAATCTGCAAAAATAATCAAAAATCTTACTTCTTGACTGATTTTAACTGGTAGAGCTGTTAAAATATGTATAAATAATAACTATTTCTTCAAAGACAAGGACAAATCTTTAATTTACTTTCATAATAATTTGAATCTATATTAAATTTATGAATATTAAATTGTTATTGCAAGGGAAAATACCTTCTCCACTTTCCTTTGCAGAAAAATTATTGGAAAAGAAATATATTTTGCGGAAATAAATCCGATTTTCTTCAAAAGAGGACGAACTATATATGTACAATTTTTTTTTTCTCGCACGGCCCTTCTTTCTCTTTTCTCACCCGCTCTCGTCGGTATGCAAAAGGCAGAAAGAACGTGCAGGCTTTTCCATCTTCCATCTAGCTCTGCATGTGCCTCTACGTGCACCTACGCTCCTCGCGTAGAGGCGAATGCAAATGCAGCCCAGCTGCTTGTGAGCATTTACGTGTGCAAGAGGAAAAGTGGCTGCGAGCGGTTCAGCCGGGCGTCCTCGCGTCTCGCGCGACCTTTCGTCAGATGAAACGCGGCAGGTGGCAATGAGCGCCAAAGTTCATTTGCTTCGTTTCGCGACCTTACTCTCAGCAACGAGATTCTCAACTGGAAAACGCGGCAAACGATTCGCGTGCTCGGATAATCGCTGTTGCGCCTTGCGAGTTAATTAAAACCGATGGAATTAATTTCTGCACTCACGCACTGCCACTCAAAATAGACGTGCTTTTCTTTTACATTAATTAATTTTTATAATATCCCAGATCAGAATAAAAAGAAGAGACAACGGGGAAAATAATTGCGATCTCTATAAATTTCGCATAAATTTCTCTATTTAAAGTGTTTCTTTTTAATATTTCAGAGAGTTCAGTTATATCTTATTGAAAAATTAATAATAGTACCAAAAATCTATCAAAATATTGCAAATATAAGCATAGAAAATATATTTTAAAATTTTGAATGGCATATTTTATGATTAATTGAATCAACTGAATAACTTATTCAGTTTGCTATAATACTTTAAGGGATTCAATGAAATGGTATTATATTAAATTTATAATATGTTTAGTGCCTTTTATGCAACAATTAATCCTTCTCATATTGAATCATCAAATTATTTATAGATCTGAATTACAAAAGCCACACGTCATGACTACAGATGTACCCTTACGTGTTCTACATTATAATAATAATTCTAATCAATGATGGAAAAATATTTATTAATTTTATATTAAAAATATATTTTACATTATGAAAAATATAAAGACCTTCAAATATTTTTAATGTAAAAAAAGTAAAAATTAAAATAATATTCACCTGCATTTTAATTTATAAAATTTTTAAATTCTAGAAATTTAATTTAAATATCAATAATTATTAAAAAAAGTTATATTTATGTTAATAATTTATGTACATAAACTAACTTTAAATGTTATAAATAAAAATAATCTAAATAATCCATAATTTTCTCATCCTACAGTTAATTTTTTTTTTATCTCATTAATACTTTTAAACGTAGTAAAGAATTACTCAAAGTTAATATCAAACAGTTTGAAAAAAAAAATTGTACTTACTTCATGTACAGGAGAAGAAGAGCGTCGAGCTTGCCCCAGTAGGTGACGAAGAATGCGATTAGTACCGAGGTCACGGTCACCGTAGCCAGGGTGATTTTGCCCCAGAAAGGCTTCTTCCACAGCAGCCAGATGATGGGCGGCGAGATGATGAAGAGGTGGAAGTCGCACGTGATGTACCACGACTGGAACATGCACTGCAGCGCAAAAATTCAAATTTAATTCGCGTGCTTTTGGCTCTTTATAGCACTACTAGACGATAAATAATTCGCCGAGGTACTTTTGCACGCCTGCATTAAACAACAACAAGCATGTACATATGCATGCACGTACATACAAGAGAGAACAACGAAAGGGGCGCGACCGCATGGTGCTGGAGCGCCTTGAATAATTGATGCCGGCGTCGAGCACCACGCGGGTCTCACTGATAATGCATTGTCAGTGTTGCCGGCGGAATTACAACGCAAACAACGGACGGCGGCTTGTTACTCTCTCACTTCCACGTAGCGAATTTAATTTCAACCCCTGGCCAGTGAAAAACCAAAATAACACCGCCGGTGCAATTATTAAAAAGTTTTCCCGCGGGGTTCGGAAATTGAATTTTACATTTTACGAAAACAATTCTTTTTTTCAATTTTTTTGCAAAGGGCATTAGAAAACAAGTAGTAAACAATATTCTTTGTGTTTTTGAGGACAAAAATTTAGAAAAAAATCCATTTTTTTTTTAAATTTCATTCCTGCTGATGTTAAATAAAATATTTTACTCAAAAATACAGTTTTTTTTATTTTTGATTGATTCTATAATTCTATATCTATTGAAATCTATATTTGTATTGCAATGTCCAAAAAAATATTCGGGAACAAAAATTTTGCAGAGAGTCAACACTATAATATTTTTTTTTTTTTAAAGCTTGTATTACTTCAAGTTTTTACTTTAAATGTCACTAAATAAATCAATATTTTATCATTTTAATGATGTTATAAAAAAAGCAATTTGTGAACTTACGAGTTGGTCGGTGTTGACGTAGTTGTTGATGTAAAGGATGTTGGCCCACCAAGAGGCGACGCACCTTTCCACCTCCACGCCTACTTTGCGTTGCCACAGAGGCCCAGAGCCGATTTTCGCCAACAATGTCGCGTAGAAACCAAGCACCACCATGTAGACAGGGGTCAGTCTGCCGGAATGGTTTGTTTGCTAATTAGTACCCGGGTCGATCGGCAAACAGTTTTGCCGGATTAGAAGGGCTAAATGTATGTTTGTACGCACCGAACGTATCGGTGGAGGTAGAGGGCGAAAAAGTTGAGTTTGCCATTCCTGCGGTTGAATTCCTGAAGAAGAAGGTAGCAGACCAAGAAGCCGCTGATAGTAAAGAAGGTGTCGACCACGATCGGTCCATTGAGCAGAATCATGGCGTCAATGCGACCATAAAACTGAAAATAAAAAAATAAAATTATATTAAAAAGAAAATTGCATTTCATCAATTCTATCTGCAATAAAGAAATCCCTTTAAATAAAATTTATTTTATTTTTTGGAATTATATAAAAAAAAATGAAATCTTTCTTAAATGAAAGTGGCTTTCTTCATATTTGTTCACTTAAAGTAAATTGAAGTTGAAATTAGATAAATAGATTTTGATCAAATCTATTAAAAAATTCAAAAACTGACCCCTTCGATGAACTCCGTGTTGATGAGAGGAGAGCCGAGGTTGAACATGAGTCTGTGGCCCATGATGATGAGGAAAACTGACATTAGTTTCAAGCCGTGGATGCAATCCAGACCGTCGGGACTTTTCTTGTGCGCCAAAAGTTTACCAATGTTGGCCACGGCCGAAAAGGACATGACCACATTGTGGCCCACATCTGAAAATTAGGAAAAAATATTGCGTTGCAGTAAAATTCCAAAATTTGAAAAATGATATTAAGAATATTAAAAAATATTAGCAAAAATATAAATAATTTTTTCAGGCACATGCAATGTAATGTAACAAATATTTTTAATCATTTTAGCAAGATTATTATTTTGTATATTATTGAGGCTATAAATTATTTTTTAATTATTGTAGGTTTTGCTCTAACGTTTATAAATATTGAACTTTTATTAGAAATTGAAATCAAGCACGTTTTACTTCCTGTTCCTTACCAGATTTCAACTCGATCCACTTGAATGTGCGAAACCGCCTGATCAAGTCATATCCGGTGCTAGCAGAGACGATGCTCGCGAACAAGAAAATGACGCATCTGTGGAAAAGACACACGTCAAGCCTAATAAGAAACTTCCTTTCATTCCCATCGCGCACACAACAGGTATTTTATATAAATATTGTAATGAGCGCGCGGTCACTCTCGCAAACCAGTTGCTGCACTTGATATTTATGTATTTATGACGCGACAACCTTGGCCGTGATTATTTCGCTCCTCATCGGGAGCACAAACGATAAACTACCGCGCGGTTCAACAAACGTCACGCAAGCTAATACGCCTGTTCTGTATAAAACCACTTTTATAAATTTTTCCGTGACACGCGAGAGCGTGATCGAAATTGAGAGTGATCTTGTGTGCAATTAAAATAATGCAACTTGTTCACGGAAGATGTAAGCGTAAAAGTGGAAGTCGATTGCAAAAACGAGTTTAAAGCTTTATTTTTTCTTCAACTAGAGTCTGCGTTAGGTTAGATTTTTATTATTATTATTATTATACTTATTTGGATTTGCAATTTTGGAAATTGCTTGTACAGCTATCAAAACATAAAACATAGCTTGGTACAGAGTAAATATTGTGCATAATTGTTAATTGTGCAGTCTCCATATTTCAGTTTCCGTTTTCAATAAAAAGATATGTAAGTAACCCATCAATAATCTACATAGTGAAATCTAATCCATAAAAAAAATGACCATGCGTTGTTAAAAGATATTGTTATCTCTAATTGCCTTTAATGATCATTGCATGGTTTATACTAATTTATATTTTATTATACTTTTGATTCCATTTCTATCTATATAAAATGATTCTTGGAGATCTATTAAATTATGATTAAATTTATAAAAATCAATTAAAATAAAATTAAATTTGTAAATTAAATTATAAATTAAATTAATAAGTAAATTTATATATAAACATGAATTTAACATATAATAAGTTAAAACGCTAGTAAAATCTTACATTCTTAAATTCTTACATTGTTATGATGTCCCCTGTGGTAAGATTGAAGTCCTTATTGACTGTGCACATGTCACCTTCAACGTCGACGCGTGCAACAAATCCGTACTGCTCGGTGTAAACCGAAAGAGCGTCTTCAAGGTGCACGGTCAGGTCCTCAGGTTCACACGAGGACGGGATGCAAAAGGCCCAGTGGACTTCGTCACGTCGCAGTTTCGCAGGATCTTCAGCGATCATCTGCCAATTTCGTATTCAAAATTAAAGATAATGGAGTGAAAATAACCAAAATAGATGGATTGAATTTAAAATTAATACCTTTTTACTACATATAAATTATGCATTGATAAACAAAAAGATTAAATTTTGAAAATAAATCATATTTCTTTTTTTAATCGTGTAAGTTGTTAATCAACAAATGATGCAAATGGTTTAGAGCTTTCCTGCTTTGACTGTAAAAATTATATAAAAATTCCAACAATTTTATTTCTTTGTAAATTAAAGAAATTTTAAAACCAAAAAAATTCAGGTTATTAACAAGGTTGAGAAGAAATATTAATGATATTTAAAGGGTCCTAATTAAATTCATGCTTAGAATCGCTCAGAAGTAAATTATTTCAGATCTTTTTGTGGGAAGCACATTTTTTTACAATTTTGTTTGTCAGCAAAAAAAGAAAACAGAGCTAATTAACGGACGCAAGAAACAAGCCGTATTTTCCGGGCAAATGAAATTACCTCGATTTTCCTCCAGGCAGACTCGTTGTTGACCCCAGCACCGTCGTCAACAACAAACGGCGTGGTCGACGTGGGAGGCGCCACCGAGGTGGCGGTCAAAGTTGCCTCGTCGGGCATGGAAGTTGAGGAAATTGAAGCGGCTGCCGCGTCGGGAAAAATTCTGATTCTAGCCAGGCAGTATTTGCCCTGAATGTTGTCTCGTTTCGACTGCACTTGCATGCACTCGTCGAAGTTGCCAAAATCGTAGGTCGAGCCGTAGAGCACTCCGTTCGGGAACTTTACTGAAGCGTCGAACACTGCAAAAAAAAATAATAAATTAATGAAAACGAGAACTTCAGTTAGATTTTTTTTATTCAAAATAAGAATTTAACTCTTCAATATTATCAATTGCCCTTTTCATTTTATTTCCTGTTAATTTGAGACAATTTGAAATGCCATCAAAATGTTTTTTTTTAACTAAAAAAGGTTTAATTCAATCACAAAAGGTTATGAAAGAAAAATTTAAAAGTTTGAAATGCCAAGGGCTTCGTAAAACTTTTTTTAACTCTCAACTTGCACGGAAAGATACAAGAGTAAACCATCTTGAACATTATCACAGTTTTCGCAAAGCGATTGATGGTGACCTTTAAAATTTTGGATATTTCCAATTTTCCTGCTTAAACAATTACGCGTCCCAGATCGGCTTTGTAACGCGCGCGTGGGCAATCAATTTTATTGCTGTTCTACAAGAATAAAAAGCGGCGAGTGACTTTGATGAATGGCCCGACAAGTTGCGAGCAAAAGTTCGCAGGAAAGAAGAAGCGCTACCCTGTTATTAATAAGCGAACGGATACGTTATCATCATCGTCCTTGTGCGCAATAATTAACAATTTGAGAGATGAAATTCTTCGCTATTTGACGCCGCGATCACTCCCGGGGGCTACAATTTCTTTCTTTCTTTCCTCCCTGTCTGAAAAAGAGAAGAAAGAGGAGAGAAAGGAGTCTTGCATTGACAGCTTCTTTCTGGCAAATTAATTGCGCGCAGGGGGATAATATTGCTTTTAGGCCCCGCCGCCTTTATTGGGAAAAAGTTACTTTCCCTGGGCGGCTGCTCTTTGGGGACAAGAAAGCGGAGTTTGCTTTTAAATCTTGGCCTCGAAACCTTGATCAAAAAGTACAATGATCCAATTTTCTGTGATTAATCTATAGCAAGTCCGAAACTTCTGACAGTTGTGGCATTTCCAAAGTTTTAATTTCACTTTAAATTACTGTGTCGTGTTCTGTTCGAGAAGCTTAAAAGTAAATTTAATAAATTTTCTCTTCCATTGAACAATTTAAAATTACTTTTGTAGTTCAACGAAATAAATTGGATAAGAAAATTTCTTGATTATATTTTCTCAAAAAGATTAATTGCACTGTATAAAAAGGGGTGATTTTTGATTTTTTGGCATTTTAGAGCTCAAATATTGTCGAGTCAAAATAAAGTGTTACATTAATCAATTATGAAATTTAATGAATACCATGACTATGAACAGAAACATTTTCATATAAGCTCAAATCTCAGCACATTCTTTACAAAATTACTTGTAAAATAATGTGATACGTTTTGCGCTTTTCAAGGTATAGGAAAAATATGTTATTTAAAATTTCTCCTAGCTATTTTTTTCTTTCAAATATCTGCTCTGGTGGAAAAAATGCAAGTTGGGAATGAAAGAACAAATGAAGCACAATTAAATAAAACAATATTGATGAAGTCAATTCATAAAATAATTTTTCTAATTCACATTTGACCTAATTATCATTGTGAGCGCTTCTTTGATATTAAATTGCCTTTCATTAGTAAATTGTTCTTTCAGAAAGTTGAATTTCCAACGGTTATGTTATTTCTATAATAAAACGTTGGCGTTCCAGCAAAAAAATTTGCTTCAGCATGTGATTTATTTTGTGAAATATACGCAGCCCACATCTGGCCCACACTTAATGTAAATTTTGAAATGAAAAATAAAGCCTTTTTGGTTTTATTTTTTACTACTTTCTCGTCCAGAATGTAAATTTAAATATTTTGTCTAAAATATTAACAAATGTGTGTGTTATGAATTGGTTATCAAGTATTATGTAGCGAATATAATATATACATCACTGTTTTTTAAACCACGCTATTTTTCCCTTTTCTTCATGAAGGCTTTTTCTATAATTATGTACTTTTGCATATCCTTTCATTGCTTTTAAATTCATTTCTTAATAATAAATTATAGCAAAATCACAAAAAAAGTAGAGCCAACAAAAAAATTGTCTGATAAAAAAAAACGCAAGACTCACTTTGTGTTGCCCACAGGGTGAATTTGTGCAGCTCACGAAGGAAAAGGTGGCTGTCCCTTCGGCACTGCTCGTTGACCACCCTGTCGGAAACGGGCGCGAAAACGGTCATGATGGCCGAGAGATTGACTCCCTGTTGCAAAAGTTCCGCGTACTCGCTGCGATGGGCCTGGGCCGTGCAGAGGCCCATCAGCAGCACGAGGAGAGCGGCCACCCACAGAGGGGTCGGCACGCGGACTTTGAGGGCCACCATCTTCAGACTTCGCTGTCCGGAGTGCGGCTCGCAGCAGACTGACCATTTTCCCGCGCACTCCGCTCCTCGTCGACTCGCTTTTCCGGCTAATTTGCGAAAACACGCCAGGAAGCGGCTCAAGAGCTGATCGGCCTTCGGTCCACTTTTCGCATTGTGCGTCCATAAAGCGCAGACAGGTTTGCTCTCGGCCGGGAAAACAGGAAGGAGATGGTTCGGAGTTCATCTCTTTGACGCCTCCGACTCCGCGCTGGCCGAGCGAGAACGGCGGTGGCGGCAGCCGCATCGATCCATTTGTTTATCTGCCGAGCTGCATCGGAAAGCAAACGGGTTGTAATTACGACACCGACAAAGTAAAGAACTAGTTGCGCTAATGCGTGGGCGGCACTTAAGCGCTCAATTAATTTTGGTGCCACATTTATCCAATTTTAGGGAAAGAGTGTAAATTTTTATAATTTTGAATTAATTGCAATTTGTGATAAAAATAAATAAATTTTGCGTTCTTTGGCGATTAAATCGGATTAACAAAATTATTTTTGACAGTTTTTACTTTCTCCCTGATTTTGGAACCAAAATGTAGATCTTTTTTAGATTATTTCTTTGCAAAGTATCTAGTAACTGGCAGTTTTTGTTCCTTGGAGATTTATCATTATAATTTGTTTTGGTGACCACTAAAAAAAGGTGAGTCACTCACTTTAGCCAATTTGTATCACCTTTCATTTAATTATCACCATTGTTATCTTGATTAACCTTGATGCTTATATTTTGTTAAGAGTAATTAAATTCAATAATTTTAGGGACACCTGCACAGATTTGAGTTTAAAAGTTTAATTTTGTAAAATAAAATTAATAAAAAAAAGGCAAGTCTTTAAAAAATTGACAGTTAATAATTTTTGTTGCAAAAAATATTCTTTTCCTGAAAGCAATCACTATTTTTAATATGTACATTTATTTATATATTTTAATTTTTTAAATATTTCTACTTTTTGAACCATTTTGGTTATTTTGTACATAAAATACTTATTACAAAGCATCATGGTAACTAACGTGATTTTAATATAATTGCAACTATATCCATTTCTCTTCTTATTTCAAAACACATTTTTTTACCTTACATAAATATTGACGCTCCTTTATTTTGATCAATTTGTAATTTACAGATTAATGCTCTAATGTGGCTCTAGGGTGTGTATTTGCTGAATATAAATCAATCCGCAAACCAACGACGAACTCACGTACACGTAAGTCTACATAAATATCTTTCTGAATATCAGCTACCGCGTCGTCGAGTTGGCGGAAATCACCTTGAGAGGAAAAACTCGCATGACTGCCTCCGCTACGCGAGTTCATCAGCATCTCTCAAGTTGCACTCGACGCACACATGCAATATTCAGGCGGCAGATGCGTTCAAACGTAATCTCGTTTCACAATTGCAAACGCTATTTGAATGGGTTAATATTTTGCATGCTGATCGATCAGAGGTGGAACACACAAAAGACCTTGAGTCCCTTTGAATTTATGTTTGGTAATTTCGAGGCTGGGTCGACCAATTTTTTTCAGGCGAAATTGCTGGTGCTTTAGCTTTTCATTGTTTTTCACTTGGTGCGCAGGTGTTGCAAATTATGCACGCCGTAATTCAGAAAAAAATTATCCTACGGTGAATCATTGGTAAATTTTATATTGCACAAGAATTAATGGTTGATCAAAATTTGGCATCTTACAATATATTTATTTGCTTATTTTGTAGACTTATAACATCACAAACAATTAAAACGATCAATAAAAAACAGCAAGGAATTATTTTCAAATTAAATTATTATATAATTTTGACACTAGAGTTTTAAGAAATTCCCATCATCATTATTGCGTCACAGAAAAAAAAGGCAAGGAAGTTTCAGATTTCAGTTGTCATTATTTTTTATTCAATTTTCAATTCATTATTTCTTTTAAAACTTTATTATTATTTTTTTTTTAATTAAGTTTCAAATTACATTCTTTTTATTCAGTCACGCATGCTCAGATAATGTTTGAGGGATTAAAAATAAATTTGGTATCTTCTTAATTTAAAATATAATTTGTCTAGCTCTAATTTTGTGAATTCACAAAAAATCTCTCTTCGCAATAGAAATTTTCAATAAAGGGACGCAAAATATTAACCAAATTGTTATAAATTCTTGCCTCTAAATTAAATTTTTGCTAATATTTAATAATATTGGACAAAAAAATTTTCCTTAGTAATAACCATATAACTAATTTAAGTCCACATATCGCATCCGGCAATACAATAAAAATTTTTGAGAAAATAATCATTTTGTATTTAAAATATATAAAAAATATAATTTGATCTTCTTTTGAAATTTTTTTATTATTATGCTTGACACTTAAAATTAAAAATTGAGGTAAGGGTTTTGATTCTTACATATAATATAATATGAACTATGTTAGTTTATGAAGCATTTTGGTGAATCATCATTTTTGTCTCCCATGTTATAACACAAATGGGGCAGTGCCAGTCACGATGCAAATTGAGCGATTTATTCAAACTGCAACATTAGAGAGGTGCTTGAAATTCAGGTCGGCGCTGGGCGTGCAGACACCGGAATCCATCGAGGAGGACACGCCGTTCGACGCGACGTCGCTCGACGAGTTCAGCTCTTCCATTGGCAGCTTCTTGTTCTCGTCCATCTGCATTTTGATGCTGCAACACAACAATGAGAATATTTATTTATTCTGCTCATTTCCACGGATTTTCATAGCGCCGCTGCTGAATGCACGACCGACCCACTTTTCCATACAAAACGCGCTCATCAGTGCTCTGTCGCTGGAAAAGAGCAACGCCAAACAAGCGCCTCTCTCGATATAAATATAAATGCGGGTCAGGCAGCAACAAAGGCGAGAGGGAAAATTGAGAGAGAAAAGTATAAAATTCCTGCATAAAAACTCCCAATCATTATAAATATTGCAACTTTTAGTTGGTAAAAATGATGAAAAATACACTTTTAATAACAGAAATGTGATAGGAGCTCTATGCATAAAATATATTATTAAATTTGTCCTAGCTGTTGAGTAAATATTTGCTATTTATATTGTAACTCTAACGCATTTTTTTTTAATTAATAAAAAAAGTTTTGTAACATTATTTTTACTTTGTACCTTTTAAAAGATATTTTCAATCTACTGACCAATTATTTTAAAAAGAGAAAAAATCTAGGAGATTTTTTGTTACATAAGGATCGCTGAAGAAAAGTAGTCTTAAAAAGAAAAATTAATTATAAATATTTTATTAAAACTCACAGATTGATATCAATTTAGAAACAGTTTTGAAACTACCTAAAATTGACCAAATGGACCTCAAAACTTAAAAGCTAATTTGTAAATATTTTTCTTTAAATAAAAAAAATAATAATAATTTACACACCTTTTTTTGAATGATTAAATTATACGTCAGCTTCTGTTCAAATTTATTTGGACTGAATTTTTGGGCTTATTTATGAAAGAATTTCCGTTTTTTTATGTTCTGAATTTTTAAGGGAAAAAATCATAAAAAAGTAAAATATTGCACACTTTTGGGTTTATAAAAAAGAATTTCTGGGGCCATTGGAGCAGGAAGAGAATTATCACGTCTATAAAATGCTAAAATAACGACATCGCATAAAATAAAATAAAAATTCCAGCGCCTTAAAAAGTTAATTTTCTGCTCCACTTCCGTGGAGCCGAAGCCAATCAGCGCGGCAATCGATTTTCGCGGGCGCGCCCCGCTCGTTCTTCGCACTTATTTCAGCGAATTCGCTAAAAAAGGACGGAGATGGCGGCAGCCGATATCAGAAGCAGGGAGGACTGTAACTTACCGCGAGCTCAGCGCTAATTTGGTCATATCTCTGATCGGCGCTTCGACGGCGAGGTAGAGCAGCAGCGCCACGCCGAAGGTAACCGTCGTATCGCCCATCGTTTTCAATATCTGCCAGAAATAAATGGCTCCATTAATTTCATCCGCCGCCGCTGGATTCAATAAAATCCACCGCGGCACATAAAGAGCTGAAGAAGATAAGAATTGCTTGCTACGGAAATAATAAAAAAGAGCGCGTCACCGTCTTTGTCGTGAGCGGAAAATTACAAAATTAGCACCACGGAGGGTGTGATTAGTGATTATATTGGATTTTTTTACTCGCATAATATAAATTTGCAAATTCGTTTGTGTTTTTATTTAATATTTATTAGTTTTTATCTTTTTCGGTTATTCAATTTTAAGCTCAATTTTTGTTTTAGCACGTTTCGGTTGCTAAATTAATTTTTATGGATTAAAATTTCAATTAATTTAGTGATTTGATGTTCAAATTAAATTAGTCGGTTAGCCTAAATTCTAATTATTTCAGAATAAAATTATTGTATACCACAAGGAAGGTGTTGTTGTAAGTGGCTTCTCTAGCGGTGCCCGCACTGTACCAAAGAATGATGACGTGGATCAAAAAGGCGCCGTAGCTCAGTTTGCTTAGAGGAATTAAGGGTTTCCAGCTGAGAATTTTGCGCATAAAAGCTGTCAAATAAAAACAGAAATAAGTTTAAATTATCATATTCAAAATTTTTACCAACGTATTATACAATTTTGAATGGAGTGAAGAAAATAACAAAAGTGTTAGTTTCAAAATTGTGTTGAAACTTCTTGAGAGTGAAATTAAATCGGATAACACACTGCATTATCAAAAAAGAAAATGAAGCTATGCTATTTTAATCACCATTAGCCTAAATTAAATGTTAATAATATTGTAATGCACAGGAATGTATTCACCCAACAAATTTTTCTTTACAATTAGAATTGAGATTAATAAAAGTTTCAGAAAGAAGGAGAGTTTTTGATTATAATATTTTTAATTTTAGGCACAAAAATTAAACTGGAAAGAAAGGAGATTATAAATTTTCAAATAATATGAAAAGTCTAAATATTGTTTTTAAAGATAATATGTGTTAATTAAAAATATTTAAGTAAAATGTTTAGAATTTAATTAAAAGTTAATGCATTTTTCATTAAAAAATTTATCAGTTTGATAACTTCTTGTAATAATATGCTAATTTAATTTACTTAATCTTCCTCGTGCAATGGCAAGCACTATGAGTCCCATGGCGAGCGTCCACATGGGCCTGTGGAAGGCACCGTAGAAGGCCCTGGCGGCCGGCGAAGTGGCCACGGCGCCCTCGGTGTGGTAGAAAAGCGCCGCCGAGAGACTTGTCGCCAGCGCCAGCGCGAATCCAATTAGGAGCAGGGGTAAGGACTTGGCCTGCGGATTATTATTAGTCAGACAGGCCAGTACAAATTGACTTGTCGTCGCCTACTTTGGCCAATCTAGCCTGCCTCTTGCTCATGTAGATTAATCCAATTATCACTCCGATGAAGTAGGGACTGGCACGCACATGACTCTTAACGTACAACGACGAGAAGTACGGGTGAACCCTTGAGCCGCGCAAGAAACTTGGAAGCAGAATGGCAAAAATTTAATTATTTTTATTCATTTAATTGAAAATTTATTCTAACTGGGCCTTAAATTAAAATATTCAATTTCTTGTGCAATAAAAAATAAATTAACTATTGAGCCACATAGTATGGCGAGGATTTTTTTTAATTAGGCTAAAAAAATCGATCAGCCGGGTTAGTGATTATAAATGAAAACCGTCTTACAAAACTAAATTAAATATAGCAAGCAAAAATTTTTTGAATAATAATTTTTTCCGCAAGTTCATGATCCTCGCAGAATTGTGGTTTAGAAATGTATATTTTTTGTTAACTTTATTCGGAACAACGAATAAATTAAAATAAAAAAGAGGGAAAGCCAACTAAAAATTCAAATTACCATATAGATAAACCCCGATTGTGAAATTCAACCAAAAAAACATTAAAACCATATGATTTTTTCGTTTTCTAATTTGATACAGAATAAACCTTCTTATTCAGACAAAATTTTCAATAATTAACTAAGAGATGTAAAATTACTGCGAACTCACTCGAGGAAGAAGAGGAGCATGGCGTCGGTGTCGAGGATCCAGATGGTGAGCAGGGGTGCGATCACCGAGGCAAAGGTGAGCGCCCCGAGCAGCGGCAGACCGACCTTTGGCCTGCGGTGCACCAGCAGCACAAGCGGCGCGCAAACAACAAACATGTGCATGTCGCAAGGCATGTACCAGCCCTGTTCGATGCACTGCCGGGCCGAGCGGATCAATTAATTATTCGTAATGGCGAATTAATTGCTTCGGAGCTCAAAACTCACCGAGCGCTCGACGCGCACGTAGTTGTTGACGTAGAGCGCGTTCGCCCACCAGTTCTCGCGGCAGTACTCGCTCTCCGGCACCACGGTCACTTTCCACAGCGGCCCCGAGCCCATTTTTGGCAATATCGACACGTAGAATAAAATGGTCAGCATGTAGGCCGGCGTCAATCTAACAATAAATTATTGAAACAGTAAAAAGGATTAGGCAAAATCGTAGGTGACAAAGTTGGCAAACCAGATTAAATTAAATGTTAATACGAGGACTTTTTTAACGTTCACTGATGCATTTTTTTTTTTTAACTATTAAAAATTTTCTTAATGATTGAATGTCTCTTAAGATGAAAATCAAAAAATGCAGTCAAATTAAAACATTATCAAGAACCGAGTAAAATTGAATTAGAGTTGGTGGTTAAAAAAATTATTAATATCGGCTTACACTGCGGTTTTCTGCAATAACGTTTTAAGATTATACAGATAAATCTTGAGAATTACTATTAATTTTTTACCTGTGGTTGTGCACTATTATAAGACTGTAAAAAAGTTAATTGCAAGTTTAAAACACTTATAATTAAATTTTTTTTATGTTTTAGTAAAAATCTTTTAATTAATTAAAATATTAAAATATAATTTAATTTATCAATAAATATTATTAAACTTTATTTTAGTGAATTTGTAGACGAGAAAAAAATGGAGATTCTTTAATTTAAAACTTTATTGCATTTAAAAATATTATAATAATACTAATGTACGTACATGTGAACATTGCCCCTATCAAGGATGAGTAAATCATATTAATGCATTTTAACCACTAAAACCACTTTGCGCAATTTATGTTAAATATTCTTTACTGTATTATGCAAAAAATGTTAAAATGTTAATAAAGCCTAAATGATTCTTGACATGAATGAGTACCTAAAACCTGAACTATGCAAAGCGAATAGAATTCTTTTCAAATCAAATAATATAAGTATAATATTATCTGATATGATATGATAACATTTTTCTGAAATTTATTTACAAACCCCCTTAAAATTGATCATCATGTTGAAAATTGATTAAGTAAACCTCAAAACTATAATCATAAAATTATATTGTTTCTTTCAAATCAATACTCTGATTGATTGATTCTTCACATGACTCAGAGAAAGTGCAAAAAAAAAATTGTGGTAAATTTCTGTGCAACATCCACCTACGTCGAGGTCGACTAATAAATCTTCTCTGGTTAAAATTGCGGCTCCCCTACTGACGCACTAACCTTGATCTGCGCCCGAGCGCGCTGGTGGGTCAATTATGCAACAATTTCGCACCATTCTGACAGGTGGGTGGGTCAAAATTATTCAATAAATTCGCTGATTCTTTCTCTCGGGACAAAATTTGAATTACACACGCCCCAGCAATGAAATTTGCGAATTAGAAAAGGCCTTGGATTCGAATCCGCGGGTCGGTTCTGTTGGTGCAGAGCCGAGAGCAGAACAGAGGGTTTGTTTTAAAACGCGTGCGGGAGGCTAAAACTGCAATTTGGCCGGCATCCAGCTGCGATGGATGCCTACAATATTGATCCCAGGGCGGATTGAGTGCCTAACAGAGTGCACGAGGGAAAACGGGCCGCTCTAGAGCAAACACACAAAATGATACTGCTGAAAATAAAAGGGAACAAGTAGTGCGAATGAGATAAATAAATAAATAAAATAAACAGTATTGTTGGACGGGGTTGAGGGTTCATAAATACAGTGGGCTCAATAAATATAAACTTTCAAGTACGCGCAATTTTCTTATTTTGAGGGGGATTTTTTGAAGTAATAAAGTTGTTTTATTTTTGCAAAAATATAGTTACATGAAGAAGAAAATTCACGTTCTCCATTAAAAAAAAGAAAATGTTATAAATGGGATCCAGGGATCCAGATATAAAAATATAACTTTTGCAGCAGTTTTGCAGGATTAAAAAACGAATGATTCATTAAATTTTTTTTCAATTCTTTTTATAACCATACAGAAATTATTTCGGAGAACGTTTTTCACTAGCAATTTTTAAAGTGCTTTGGTTGAAATTTCCGTGATTCTGTCTTCATTATTTAATTTAATATTAATTAAGTTTAGAAGATTATAAAACAATAATTTATTTTTCAAAAAATTTTAAAATGGAAACTAAACCTTATTATTTTATTTTTCAAAGTTTATGAGTGCTATACATTGTGTAAAAGTAATGTAATTTTGAAATGGATTCGATTTTGAAAAAAAAAATCAGTAATTGCTTTTACTTCTTTGATTTTCAATTGTTTAAAACTCCACATGTTGTGCAAAGAGCACTCTATATTTGATTTTCTACTAAAAATATTCATTAATTTTCCGTCTTTTCTGAAAATGCTAAAGAAAGCTAAAAAAAAAAATCCTGCAAAAGTGAAATCATTGAGTGGTGGTTTTTTTTCTTATTTTCTTTCCAGCTATCCATTTGTCTCTATGGTCTTTATTGACTTACCTCAAGTATCGGAAGAGGTAGAGCGGCCAGACGGATACTTTCATCCCAGCGATGGGTCTCCTGAGAGCTTTCAGCAGACCGACGGTGAGCAAAAAGCCGGCCAAAAAGAAAAACGTGTCAACCACCAGGTCACCATGCAGCACCGGCATGTACTGCAGTTTGCCGAAAGACTGCAAATAACAATCCCTCGGAAGTGAGCAAATCTCTCTGATAAGTGCATTAAAATTGATCCGACCTGTTCCTGAAAGTTGGGGTTTTTGACGGGGCCGGCGGTGGTGAATCCGACTTTGTGGCAGGCAATCACCGTCAGGATGGAAAAGAGGCGGATGCCAAACAAGAAGTTGAGATCGGTGTCGCTCTCCTTCTCCATGTTTGACAACCCTGAAAAGTTTTTGCCCGCCGCGAAACACAGAAATATCTGCAGACCTAAAGATTGTATTGCTGCGAAAAAAATTAAATATAATTTTGAATTGCAAGATCAAGGCAACATTGAAATTTATTAAATTTTAATTTTTTTTTTGTTTTTATTTTATATAACTTTTAATTATTAGTATTTTCAAAAGTAATAATTCATTGAAACTTTCAAAGTTTTACTAGATTTAATTTAAAATGTTTGCTTGAGATTCCGTTTTTGTAAGTTCTTTTTCGTACATTTGCAATTCATCCTTTCATCCTTTCATCTTTTCAAATTGTAATTTGAAAAGTGTTGAAAAGAAATGTTTATTTTCTTTGTGAGAACTGTTGATAATTTTTTTTACACATTTTATTTTGAATTATTTTTCAATACATTTTCCATGAAAATTTTTTGAAGTTCAGAAATTGATTCCTGTTTTGCTCTGTACACCGATCTCTTTTACATTTTTCCAACTATGTATCCGCATACAAAAAATCTAATTAATTTTGTCAGCATTTACCTTTTTCATCCCTCTTCTCTCTTCTGCTCTTCAAAACGTGTTCATAAATAGAAGCCGTTACCACCACAACAAGCAAAACACCAACAACGGCACTGTGAAAATTCAAAATATGAAAATCCTAAACAACAAATAAATAAATAGAAATTCACAAAAATGCGATGTCCAGAGAGGATATTTCGAACGGCTCGTGGGTGGAGCACAATCGTTGGGGCACTTCAACGTGCAGGGTGCCGTTCAGAAGGGCAACCCGGGGGGCGAAGGCGGCGTGCATGGCTCGCTGTACGTCGCTGTTCGAGCACGTTTTTGGCACACAAATAGCAAGTTTCACCGAATCACGCGGTGCACGCCATCGCTCACCTCGATTCTTAAAAGAAAAATAAACAATATCAATCATAAAAATTGAAGAAAAATCTATAAAAAAATTAGTTTAAGATATTAAATTGAAGTCTAAGAATTTAAAAAGAGAAATTTTAGTAATCGTTTAAGTACACGGAATTTAATGATGCACGTATTTTTTTTATTAAACATAAAAGTTTCTTTCAGAATAAAATTGTTTTGAAACTGACTTGTATGTGGTGCCATGCATTGCTAAAAGGGTATGGCGTGAGTTGAGCGTCGTGCACTGGCCGTCCCCTGAGGTTCTCTAGGCGAGGACCATCCACGTTTAGGGAGGCCAAACAGTATTGGCCCTGGATTTGTCCATTGTCGACGGAGAGACACTCGTCGAAATCGCCCAAATTGTAAATGTTCCCTTCCAGAATTCCTGATGGCGTGTTTGCCGATGCATCCAACACTGAATTTGAGCGTGTTTACGATTTAAATTTTATTGAATAATAGAAGAAAGCTAAAGTGAATGATGTATAATCGGGAGAAAAGATATTTCTTTTAAATTTTATTCAAATTTCTGTTTAATGCTACATCAACATTATATATAAAAAATTAAGAAAAGGAAAACAAAAACTTTAATAGTTGGCTTTGAACTTGCGTAATAAGTTTTAGTGAAAATATAGTTATTTAACAAATAAGAAAAATTAATAATTAAAGGAAACATATTAAAAAATTATTTAATCTTGTTCATTATAGTATATTTTTCTTTCTTTAGAAATTGTATTTGAAAACAAGTTAACCTTGTAAATTAATTAAATGTTCAAAAATTTACTTTTTTCAAAATTTACTCACTTTGGACAGCCCAGAAAGTGGCATTTCTAAGACTTTGGAGCAGCACCTTGGTGTGGTTTCTGCACTCGGCACTTTTGCCCTCCGCCAACTTCTCGAACACCTCGATGGATGACCAAAAATTCTGCAGGCTCTGCGCTGAAACATTCTGGCTGAGAACAGGGGCCGACAGCGCGAGCCACGCAAAAAGACAAAGCGCAGCCCTCGCTGGCAGCATTTCTCGATCAAACTAATTCGATTTACCCACCCTGAATGAGAAATGCATTAAATTTCAAAAATCCCTACTACCTACGTGAGGACGATATTTGTTATTGAAACGCAATATAATATCCCAGATTTCACAATAACAAATCGTCGCTTCCGAGTAAAAACTATTTCTTTCTCAGCGGCCGCAGGCGCAATTCTATATTTCATTACTGAGGACAATCGCACCTGCGACCTCTGCCATGGTAACGACGATATTTGTGAGAAAACTTTGCATTCCTACCGCGTGCTTGGTAATAATAAAGAAGAAGTGTAGTGCAAAAAGTTTGCAATGCAATATTCTGTTTTATGAGAGACGTTACTTTTTCTCATTCTTCCTTCTCTCGTCGTAAAAAGTGCGTTCCTGATAGCGAGTGGAAAATAGAATCATCGTGACCCAATTCCGGCGCCACCGCGTGCATTAAATGAATTCATTGTGTGGGTGCCGGCTGGTGAAATGGGTGATTCATAACAAAGATGACGAACGGCTTATGTATATTTTTATATTTTCCACTCCTATGGCGCAGCGGATTAACGCCCTTGAGGTAATTGGATGGGCTTTCAAATGAGAAATGCATTCGGGGATAAGTGAAAAATAAAGGGAGCTCTGCATTTCTATTATGCATTAATCCGATGAGGGGAGGAGGGGGGAGAAATGTCAAGTGCTCTTCGGCAAAAACAGTTCAGAGAAAAGCATTCACGGTTTAAATTGGATGAAAATCAATCACGTATAGTAAATTGAATAAAGCAAATAAATCATAAATTCATAAAAGACCAAGTTAGCCTTTCAAATTATTATTATTTTTTTTTCGCATATAAATTAAGATAAATTTATGTTCTCTGTTTATGATTTATTCTAATTAATCAGCGGTAATATATTTATTAAATTAAACTGCCGAAAAAAGAAAATGTAAAATCTCGGTTATTATGCAATTTTATTAAAATAAAGTTTGATATAAAAAAAAATCTTTGGTGATCTTTGGATGAAAGTTGCAACAATTTAGAGCTGTTAACTGTTAATTAACAAAGCGACAATTTCTAGAATGAGCATTGTTGAGTTTGGAAATTGAAATATTATTAATCAACTAGTTTAATTGCTTTTGAGCATAATAAATGTTAATTTCATATATAATTTGGTGCTTGGATTATTACACAACTCAGTTAATTTATTTAAAAGTTCCCTTTTCAGTAGAGAAACATCAACAACAAAATTGTTAATTAAATTGACCAAATTGACCCAAATAGTTTTTACTAATTAATAATTTGCGGTGGTAAACTTCAGTGTTAAAAATTAATCCACAGCCCTGAGCTGAAAGGGCGGATGCATTCTCAGTGTGTATGTGTTTTTTTGTTTTTTCGCGTAATGAAACGCGAGAGGGTCGATAATTAATTTCGCATTCAAAATCGCCAATCCGCTCGCTGGCAGTTATTTCGGTCTCGTAATTAAATTTGGCCTGTCATTGGCGTTGCACATGAAATAATTACGAGAAATTTGACGTTTGCCGCCGACGCTGGAATTATTTTCATATTCGACGATGACATAATTGCCATTGTTTGGCCGCGCGCACAAGTGAAAGGCGTCCGCGTGTTGACATTTTAATAAAGCCGCCGAATTATTTTTGACTCTTGAACGACGAAAGTAAAATTTTGAGGCGATGGGACGGCGAGATTAACGTTTACTACGTGTTTGCGGGCGAGGCCTGATTTACGATCGCATTGTCTTGATAAGTTTTATATGTTATAATGTGGTACAATGTCAATGCCGTGCGAACTACGCCCTTCAGCCGCACTGCTTTTATCCCAAAATTCCAGATGATTCAATTGTTATTTCACATATTTGCATAATTCCAATTGAAGTGAGTGATATAATGAGCAGGTTGCACTCTTTTGCAACAAGAGGAGCTGAAAAAATACGTGTAAGTTAAAAGACAATTGATCAACAATTAATGAAAACAGGCAAGCAATTTTTTAATAAATTTGAAGCGAATTTCCATTTTTGTTTTCAATTTATTTATTTTTAAGTAGAAAAATTTGAAATTCTTTATTTAAATAAGCTTTCCTTTTAATATTACTTACTAAATCAGCTACGATTCAAGTACGGGAAAAATAACTTTTACTTTCAGATTATGCTACTATAATGCAATGCATTTTTTCTTTGTTGATATTATTTGTAAAAAGAATAAACTCAACGTGTCAGACTGAACATTGAAAATTAAATTACTTTTTTTACTTTATCTTATTTTTCTTTTCCAATGAAAAATAAATCATGATCGCAGAAGTTGGGAATTTTTAGATATAGTGCGAATGCAAAATATTAAATCTTCATAATATTTTAAATAATTACTTTTCATGACGCTAAAAATATAACATGTTTTAATTTGCTTGTCTAGGCGACTTGATGTGAGAAAGCAAGAGTAGCGTCTGCAATTTAAGATGAACGTGTTGTCGCCCAGAATTAAATAGTTAATAATATTGAGACTGCGCGACCAAAAATCAATATACTATAAATTTTCTCCTTTTGACCAATTCAGTATACTTTTTATTACAGTGTGCTAATTAATTATGTGGGCCGAGAGACGATAGCAAATCTTTCCGCAAATACGCCAAGGTCATCAACTGCATCTTGTTTGACAAAGAGTGACGGTGGCCTAGACGAATTTCTCGACCTTGATGCTGAGAAACCCGATTAGTGATCGGTACTTAACACAGTTTCCTTAAACCTGAGAATGGATCAGCTACTAAACCAGTTATTTCTTACTTTTTGATTTATTTTTTTAATGGGTCGTGAAATTAAGCAGGGATATTTTTAAAATTGAATAGATGTATTAAAACGAAAATAGAGATGAGCTATAATTTCAAATTAAATTTCCCTGTTGGATAAATAAGAATCAACACTTTGCAATTTTCTCATGTATTCTTGTAAGATCCGGTTGCAGGCAGTTTTCTTTCTGTTGCATCTGCCACCAATGAATGATGAATTATTGAGCCATTAGCACTACATGAATTTTTCATAGTGACGCGCAGAAAAACCGGAAAATGAGAAAGATTGCCCTGGGAAAGACAACATTATGGCTATGTGGAAACTCAAAATAGAATAAATGTTGAGATTTTCCAGCTGGCACAAAGACGGCGCGTGTCGTTTGCATAACAATTGATTTAGAAAAAAACACTCACGTTTAATTGACGTACGCAGTAGAAAATAGACTAGCATTTCTTGCCGCGATCAATTTGATGTTTATTTAAAAGAAAAAAGTAAAATAATTCATTATATTACATATTAATTAATACATAATATATATTTTAAATTTAACCAAATTTTAAAAACTTAAAGAACCTTTCTTCAATTTTCAAAGATATTACAATAATACATAATTTCACATCATTTCAACCAATTTTAACATTTTTTTTTTAATAAATCATTATTATATTCTTCTTGTGAGAAAATGCATTAAAAATTTGACACAAATAATTCAAAAAAAATTAAAATATATTGTTCTGTGACATGGTTAACTTAAAAAAAAATTACATTTTATTCTCATCTTCTGTTCTCTAGTCACTTTCAATTTTCAAGTAGCCACTAGATTATAAAATATAGTTATGAAATGAATATTTAACATTGGCATTGTAACTATGTATTCGTTTTAATTAATTAAAATTATAATAAAAATTTAGCAGGTATTAGTATTTTGGTGAAAACCTTTCCCTGCCTTTAAGATAAGTTTCACGCCAGCAAATAATTATGCAGAATAAGTTCAATGAACAAAACAAACAACCGCGTGCGTGTCTGCGTGAAGCACCAAACGCATTCCTACGTATTTAACCGCGAGAGGTCAACCGGCCTAATTAGCCGATCAACAATCGCGTCTGCAAGTTCACTAACTCGAACGGTCCATTCGGGCTGCTCCAACCTTGCAGATGCCCTGCCAGGTTGAAGGTGGCGGGAGGAGTGGGCACCGCTCTGCTCTGCTCTCTCGATCCTCACTCGTTCGCCGCCAATCTCATTCATTTCGGCGTGAGATGCGTCCCGACTGACTTCAGACCATGCTCGTCACAGTGCTTGCGCTGGCCGTCGCGAGCTGGCCGTCGGCCGCCGTGGCCGCCCCGCCCCAGTTGCAGATGCCGCCCATGCCGCTGGCCATGGCCACCCCCTGGTGGGCGCACCTTCACGGTGACAAGTGCAAAAACGAAAGTGCCATGTTTGTCGAGGAGCTGCACAAATTGACCTTATGGGCTGTTCAGAGTAAGTAGACTTAATAAATTTATCTAAAAAAAAAACGTCTATCGGTGTAAAATTTTTTTATTTTCAAGTGTAATGTATCAAAAATAAAAGTAAAAACGCACAAAATTTTAATTATATGTTAGTGAGTCTTGCCAGTTTTGTAAAGATATTCAATTTTTTAATATTAACTGGAACCTTTTTTTCATATCTGATAAATTTTATTGAAAGCAAAGTGCAAAGGAAATTTTGCAATGCAATTATTTACGGTTAAAAATATTGACAATAATCTGATAGGAAATAAGTTTTATGTTAAGGGATGCTAATCGATTATTTTTTTATATTCAATGAAAATTTTTGTAGAATATAAATTAATTTTTTTTAATAAACACATCATAAGCAATATTAAATTTCATCTTGCTAACTCTAATTGTAAGCTTTCTGAAATTGTACCACTAAAAGTGAATTTGCAACTCATCACAATTCACAGAAAACATGGTCATACAACCTCATATTTGCACTCGTCGTTTACAATTTGGGTTTGCACTGCTCCATTCATACAGTTTTTTCTGTTTTCTCTTCACGAGAAAAACGGAAACATCTCTCTTAAGAGGTGAAAGTTGCTAAAAAGCAATAGTTTTTTTTTTTTAGCAAAATATCAATTTTTTAACGTTTTGAATGAATTTACTCAATGTTGAAAGTACATAAATTTGATACAAAATTTCTTGTTTTCCTCCCATCCTTCATCAAAACAAAAGAAAATAAATTCAACCAAATCAAATAATATTTTTTGATCTGTGTATTAACAATAAGTTATTATTTTACTTTGCGGTGGTGCAGGATCCCATTGAAGCCTTAATTTTTTTATTTTTGTTCTGACTTTTCATATATGACTTTTTTTATAAATACGTATTTTGATAAATATGACATTGGCTTTGAAATGAGTTGAGCGTAAATAATATTAACTATCCATTGGTACCGTTAACGTCTGCTTAATAGCTTTTCTTTTCTTGGTATTGCTGGCTAATTTTAATCAATTTTTATAGAAACAATGCTGGAACGATACCAAATATAATTAATTATACTATGAACCTTCTCAGAGGTAGCTGTGCCAATAAATAAAATTTCAAATTTTCAATTTAATTCCAATTGTGATTGTTTAGCACAAGTAAACTGGATTATTGTTATTTTTAAATTTTTCTTAAAACAGAAATTAAAATAAATCACAAAATAAGTAAAAGGTAGATAAATTGTTAAATGTAAAATTATTAAGTTAAAAAGATTTTCATTTTGAGTTCCAACAGCGTTTTAATAAATTTTTAATAAAATATATTAAAGTGTTTGTATCAGCAATTATATTAAAATTCGCTGCTCTGCTTGGGCAATGCATTAAGGCTGTTCATCTCAAAGGTTAAAAAGTTTGCGCACAGCTATTGAATTATGGACGGCACACCCTTTACGGCCAAGATTAAGTGGATTTGCGCTCGGTGCTGCTGCTGGTGCACGGGGCGCGTGATACAAAATACTGGTTACGGAGCGCGAAGCCTAATGCCCAACTTTCGTGTTTAAGCCACTTACCTAACACAATATTACACTCGCGCCGCTGCTGCAGCACGTCAGTAATAGAAGAGCACTTCGCACGTGCGCGCCGCACAAAGAGCCGCGTAATTGTTTCGCAGCCTTGGGCTCCATTAAAATCACGACGATAAATTAATACCAGTTTGTGTGCAAAATTTGCGCGCTCCCGGCATTTAATCTTTCCTAAATTTCCTTAATTTAAATTAACAGCATGAGCAAAAAGCTTTAAAATTGCGTCTAGACGTCTCATCTTGGTGCTGAATAGCGAGTCGATATTTGACCTTTTTAATGCATAAAATTACCAAAAATATAGTTTTATGGCTTGAAATTTGGAAGGTAAAATGCGTAAACCGTTAAAAATTGAAAACTAAACCAATTTTAAAAAGTAACATCATTTTCAAGATTTGATTATCAGCGAAGTAAATATTGTACGGCGACGAATTGATCCCACCTCTTCGATGAACGTTTTCCACGCCCAATTTTGTTTCTAAAAGAATCAAAATCAGGATTTTAAAATTTTTTTCTTATCAAAATTTTTCAAATTTAGAATTAGTGGAGTGCAGATCTTGTGCAAAAATGGTACATAAATTGTGCAGTACCGGTGCAGATGCTCTGCATCAGTTCTACACAATCTCTGCACCATTTCTGAACCAGTTCTGTACAAGGGGTCCAATTAAAGATAGAATGGTTTAATTTCGTTTTCCATGCTTTATTTTTATGCCTTTTGCATAAAATATTTGCAGTCATTCCATTTCTACAGAAATTCAAGCATTGCTTTTACTAAGGTTTTATAACTGTGAGGAAATAAATCAATAAAGTAGCCTGATAGATACATAAGCATGTCAAAAATTTAATCCTTTAACAAATCTATTAAATTAAAATATCAGAAGATTTTACTTGATTTTGACTGTTAAATTTAAGCAAAATTCCTTCTAATTAAACGCCACAACAATTTTCTTTCTAATCGGTTTTACTTATTGTAAACCAAGATAGAAAATGACAAGGAAAAATAAAAAAAAAAAACTAATTTGTTATTTTGTTCCAGTGTTTGACTCGTCGGCAAAGTTCCCTTCCGGAGTGATGTACGGTCAGACGTACGCCTTCGGCAATTACGACGAGTGCATGAGCCTGTCCAAGTCAGGGTCGCCCGTCCCAGGGCAGTACTGTCTGGCCAGGGTGCAGCTGCGGCCGAGCGACCACTTGCCCTGGGGGTCGGCGGCCGAAGACGACTCGGCCGCCCGCACCTTCCGTGAATTCATTTCGGCGCCGATGCCGCCCAAAGAACACGAGCCACGAATCCCCAAACACGACGACGATGACCCCAATGCATCCGTCTGGCTCAAAGTGCAGGTCAGTCTAGCCACCTAATACCTCTTTTATTACTTTTTTCCCTTTTTCGTCTGGGAACGCAAAGAGTGAGAGAGACGCTTCTTGGGAGAAATCAGAGATGCTTGGGTGTTGGATTTCCACAAGGAATATAAAGGGTGGGTCGGTATTTTGGGTCAGGGTTGAGTTTCCTCAGCTTTCGTGCTCAATTTCGCTTCATTATTTTCTCAACAGTCGAATAATGCAAACATTTCAAGTTATCTAAGATATTAAGCAAAACTTTTCAAAGAAAGCGATATTGAAATTAATCTAGCTATTTATTTTTTGGTAACGTGGAAAATTGGCTTTCCTTCCTTGATTTTTTTATTATTCAGATATAAAAAGCTCTTCTAATTTGATCTCAATACGCAAGAATGATAGAAAAATATCAAAATTTAAAACAGTGTATAAATTTGTCCAATTTTTTAAATCAGAGCAAAAATCAATATCATTTTTAATTAATCTAACATTCTCATTTGAATTATGAGGTGTGGAAAAGGAATCTTTAAATAGGTACCGAATTGACGTGTGAAATTTTTACTTGAATTGTTGTTGCAAAACACAAAAACGTACAAAAGATGTTAGTTTTTTGGTATAAATTTTTGGCACTGCAGATGCAAGTGCTCTTGGAACCATATATTATCTGCAGTGCCGAAAATTTCCACCAAAAAAACCGTCAACTTTCGTGAGTTACAAACAAAAGACGAGCGTGTTTAATGTACACACGGCACGTATCTAAATTTCATTCCCCACAGTCCCAAAATATTTAAAAAATTTAAAATCTCATTTAAATAAAATTGAGTCATTAATAACATATTTTCTTGGAAAATAAATATATTGCGGATATTTCCCATTATATCAATTTTTGCTGAAATATTTAACCTAAATTGCAAAATTTTCTAATTCAAAACAAAAATATATACGTCACCTAATTAGGCTTTACAAAATTTCTCATCTTGTTAAAAATTCAAAATAAATATATTTGACATTTACTTTGATTATGGAATAAACATTAAATCATTGTAAGTAAAACGATAGTGACTCTAATATTTATTCACATTAGCTCACAATTTCTATTTTTGTCTTAACGTGCAAAATTCCAGTCTCAAGGTTTCAAATCGCAAGTGTAAACAACAACAAGGTGAAATTTCAGCCCTCGTTATATTCACAAGCGTGCTACCAATTTCTCCTCCAACATAACATGACACAAACGAGTTCCTTGCGTGCATTTATAAATATTTCATGTTTGTTACGCGGCTTGTTTGGACTGACTCACTCTCAGCCTCTCGCACAAGTCACTTTTCCATTTTGCGCCCTCCTTTGGTAAATATAAGAAGACCCTTTGGTGCGAAATTGGCGAAGGGCCTCGCTCTCGTCGACGGTGCTGGAGAGGCGCGAAATCGAGTTTCCAGGGCGCGAAATTGAGGAAGGATGTTGTAAATAAATTCGACCGACCCCCGCGCTTTGCCGCCTGGCTGCTGGCCAATCTAGCCCGACCAACCGACACACATGCAAATTATGCCTCCGTTGCCACCGCCGCACCTCCAGGGGCAAAAACTAGAAACACCGTGTCGTCGATATATTTCACAGATTCATTGCTGAAAATGGCCGCAAGGGAGGAAAACGAAAATACCCACATGATGCGAACAGGGGATGGAAAATAAATTTAAATAAACATAAAACAAAAAAGATTGTGTCTTTTTTGAGTAGGCCAGTTCCCTTAAAATTATCTGATTATTAGAAAACTTTATATTATTCTATTGCTGATGGTATTTTTTTTAAATTGCCCAATATGAATGTAATTAAAGAAGATGTCTAAATAAATTTGTTTATTAAATTAATTAATTAATCAAAGAAGTATGGTCGCAAATTATTAGTGATCCAATTTTCTATCCGTGAACATTTTTACTAAGAATTATTATTTGTTTTTCTTCTTTAGTGTCTTTTTTTTACTTAAATATAATTTGTCAATAATTCATAAATTTCTAAAAAAAAATTTTTTTTTAAATCGTAAATGAAAATTACTTAAGATTTTGTAAAAATTATCTTATTTTTAAAGATTTTAATAATCAAAATAAATATTAATAAAAGTGGACAAGATGCTAATCTTCATAAAAATCGGTAAACGCCCTTTAAAAAATAAAATAGATTTTATTAATACTTATAGAGGCTAGTTTGTCTTTTCTTTGAAAATTACTTATAGCTGTTTAAGCTTTTTGTTATTTCAAACACTGAAAATATCTTTCTATGTCTCTTTTTTAGCGGACAATTACGGACCCATCAAAGAAGCGCCGAGACGTTTTGCACTGGGGACTGTGCGTTCCTTCCTCGTGCGATAAATTGGACGTGGAGGCGCACTTGAGGGCCATGATATCCCCACTGGGCGCATCTTTGGGCCTCGAAGGCTCCATAAGAGTGCAGACCTGCGAGAAGGCCGATACCGAAGAGCCTCTTTCAGTTGCAGCCATTATTTTAATGCGAGTAAAAAGTTACTCATCTTGAGAAAAGAGTTAATTAGTTTGTTTCCAGAATAATCATCTGCGTTTCGGTGGCATTTGTGGCGTTTGGTACCACCTACGATCTCACGCATTCCATCAAAGACGGACGGAAAAACACTAAGTGGAAACGTATGTATTATAATATATTTTTATTTATATAAAAATGCACAGCATAGTAAAATTAATTAGTAGAAATGTATTTTATCCTAATAAATTTAATTTCTTTTAATATTATGTTATACATAATTATTTCTTCTTTAGTTAATTTAATTATTTTACTTTATAATTTATTCAATTTGCTGAAATTATAAATAGCTTTTTATAAACTATTCAACTTTTGTTATTAAAGTCACATGCCATCATGGCGATCCTCAAGATTTTTGCCTTATCGGAGATTGCATCGCTCCAACCAAGTGTGTTTAAATTTTATGAGTAATTATGATTTTACCAAATTCATGGACGCGGATATTCATGAAAACATACGTACTCATCATTTTCAAATTTTCATAATTACGAAAAATGTATATATACATTACATTATTATACAAGGTTTCCAAGAAGAATAATTAATTAAGTAGTTCATTATTATCATCATCATCATTTTATCCAAAGGAAAATAATGATCATAAATTTCATATTAAATTTTGTAGTAAATATTGAAAGATGTAGACAAGAAATGGAACTATCTGAAAGTCTCCTGCATTATTAATCGAGCTCCACGCCAAGCCTCCTATTCTATTCCCTTTTTTTGCTGACAGATTTTTTTTGCAATTCTTTTTATTTCTTTCCCGTTTCCTTTTTTCTCCGAATTGCACGTCAGCCGGGCGGAAGTTTTGGCGTCGCTCTTCCGACCGTCTCGCGGCGCAAATCCGCAGCAAGCGTGATTAATCTTTGATTCTTCTGCTTTTGCAGCGTCGCGCGGCGAGCAGGTCGTGCTGTGCTTCTCAGTGTATCGCAATCTCAAGCGGCTGGTGAGCACCGAGGCTGACGAGCACCACTTGAAGTGCATGCACGGCATCAAGCTCTACTCAATGGCGTGCGTCATGCTCGGCCACCGGCTCATGTTTTCCCTCGGCAGCCCCATCCACAACCCCGAATTCATCGAAGGGGTCAGTTTGCAATTGTAAAAAAAATCAATGCAAATTTTAAAACCGTACACGAGTTGATCTAAATATAGAATTAGCTCATTAAAAAAATAGAATATCTGATATTTAAATATTAAATAATTATCAGAATGTTAATCGAATGATTTTTTTACAAAGTCTGGTAAATTGAATTATTTTTTTTTTCACTTATTAAGTTTATCACAATTTGCACCTAAAGTTTCATTTGAGATTACTTGATTGAACTTGATATTAAAATCCCTCTACTCTATTGAATTTGAATTACAAAAATGACACTTTCTTAAAAGGCTTTACCAGCATTCATATGAGACACAGTTTGCAGTTTTTATGATGATTTTTTTATAGTACTACGAGCGGCTGGACACGATGATTTTGCTCAACGGGTTCATCATAGTGGACACGTTTTTCACGATCAGCGGCTTTCTGGTCTGCTTCCTCCTCTTGACCGCGTACAGCAAGAACGTCAAGGTGCCCATCCCAGTGCTCTACATTCATAGATACATCAGGCAAGTATCTTTGCATTATTTGTGCCGTGAAATCGCCGCAAAAGTATGTTCCTCGTTTATTTGGGAGGAAAATGCAAGTCGATAATTGATAACTTAAAGTTTTAAATTTAACTGCAACTTGAAATTTTGAAGAAAAAAAATGTAGTTAATTAAAAAAAAAGTAATTTAAATAGAAGCGTTAATATATAATGGCAGGATTATTAATTAGATTACAGAAAAATATTATTTGAAAATATATTTCGCAAGGTCTTGTACCAAAATTTACGCCAAATTCTTTACTATAATATAATTATACAATGTTTAAATTGTTGTATGTTTGAAACACAAATACTTAAGAAATTAGATCAAATGTGTCCAATTCAAAAGCAGATACAAAAGAAAAATCGACTGTATTGAATACTTTTGTTCAAATTATTAATTATATATTTTTCTACACGTCTCTCAGGATATCGTTTAATTTTCCTATTATTCGCGGCTATTCAGATTGTAAGAATTCAGATTTCAACAATTGAAACAGAATCATTACGATTGAAATAAATCAGGACAAATCCAATCAATGTGCCATTAGAATAAGCTTTTCGAATTCTAAGTCATTTTTTTTTTTAATCGCAAGTAAGTTCTAATCATCAAAACTTCTTGTTAGTTCCACCCCCTGTCAATGCCCTTTGGATGCACCTGTTTAGCAAGTCGGCGTGCATCGTCCATTAACAGAAGTTGCGTCTGGCCAATCAGTGGCCGGCTGCACTGGGGCGAATTTGCATTTCGCAAGCCAAAGGGGTTGCGGCGGGCAAGGCTCTCTCTTGCGTGTGTGTGCATTTGTATATTAATGGAAGCAAACGGCTCATGTGTGTTTGTGTTTGTCGGACAGATTAACGCCGGTGTACGCGGTGGTGGTTTGCGTGTACGCCTGTCTGCTGCAGCACCTCGGCTCGGGGCCCATTTGGAGCGCCAAGGTGGGCCGCGAGGTGACCCGATGCGCCGACAACTGGTGGGCCAATCTTTTGTACATCAACAACTACGTCAACACCGACGCCATGGTGAGTTACCGACATTGAGCCAGATGCGTTTAATTGCACCCGGCCGCAGCGTTCGATTATTCATCCACCTGCATGCGCTAACCGCTTTCATTAATTTGCCATGCGTCAAAAATCGTCAGGCCAAGTGAACCATGATTAATTTCCTTTAAATATTTCTGATATTTATGACTGTTTTTCTAAACTTAAAAGCATTAAATTAATTTCCAATGATTTCCCAATATTTATTTATTATAATTAATTAATCTGGCTAAATCAAAAAGTCACTTCCATGTTCTCATTCTCTTTTAAGTCAAATAATAAAAAAACCGCACTTGGAAATTACTCATTAAAATATGATTTAAAAATTTCTATAACAAAAAAATTTCATGTCCGATGTGATAAAAATTTCAATTTTGAGACACTCGAATTTTATAAATACGATTGACTTTTCTTTGAAATTTTACGACTATTTACTATTTTATATTTTTCATCGCAAGGTAGAAAATAAATTGTAATTGATTAAATTGGGGGAGAAATTATTTTAAAACTTCATCAAATGCCCGACAGTTGTTAATTGTTTTATTCAAATTGCAAATAAAACTTATTTTAAGTAAATGTTGACCAATGTTTATGACATATATTTTGCGGTAAAATTAGTCTGTAAAAAAACTGGTAAGGTTAGCAACCTGCACGACGCTGATGCCAATCAAATTGCATAGCTTTTCTGTATCAATTTAGCAGACCGGTCAAAACAGCATTTTTTTTCTTAATCAATTGAATTTTGAAATATTTTTATAATATATTTAGTTTTAAAAGGATCTCAAATTCAGTTTTAGAATCAAATTAAGTTAAAACAAACCTTAAAAAAAATCGTGTCTGTTGTCAGTTTCTAAATTAAATTTACAAATAAAAAGTTTCAAATTTGCCAACCTTGTCTTCTAAAATTTCTAGGAAAAAAAAGTTTGCGGAGAGAAACACGATTCTGTGATGGAATAACTTGGTTTTGTTATCTATTAACGGTTTGTGGACCTTTTCCTAAGAAAGTTTTTTTCAATTTTCTGGTCTCATTGCACTGACAATGAATGTCAATTTAGTCTTGAAGCTTTTCAAAAGGATGCATTTGATTTATTGAAAAATTGAGTTAGAATTTTTGTTTTAACTTCTCACTTTTAACTGTGATTAATTTCAGATGAAAATTATCATTGTGCCGCAAACCAATTTCCTGCTCAAATACATCTGGAAGTTGAAAACTCTCGAATTTAAAATTTGTTTTAAGTTGGAAAGAAACTCCTTCCATCGTAACGCACGGGCACACAAAGCAAAATTCGGGTCACGTGAGAGGTCTGCTCTCTTTGCCGACCGCCGGTTTCTCCATACATTTCTCAGTCAGAAACCCAATTAACGCTGCGCCTGAATAGCCACTCGTCCGCAGCCTGGCCGACGGACGTGCGTCGCAGATTGCCTACCTTCCCGGCCTTTCGATAATAATTTTTCGCACATCTCCATATTCTACAGAGAATGCATCTCCGTGTTTTGCTTTCAGTGCATGTTCCAGTCGTGGTACTTGTCCTGCGACATGCACCTGTTCGTGATTTCCGTACCGATCGTCGCGTTGCTGTGGAAGCGACCCACGCTCGGAAAGGCCGTCCTCACCATGGCCATCGTCACCTCAATCCTGGTGCCGTTCGCAGTCACGCTTTTGCAGGAACTGGACGCCCTCTTGCTGCTTTATATGAAGTGAGCCAATTTTCATTTTTTCCGCAGCTTATTCATACAAATTAAAAAACAGAACATGATGATTTTTAAAAATTTTATAATGATTGCTTTGTATTATTTTTAGTTTTAGAAAATCTCGAGTCAATTTAGTTAATTCTCATTTGAGAATATTTATTTTACAAACGTGAAATTGATTCCGCTTTTAACTTAAACCATCAAAATTAATTCAAAAGTTAGTATTTCATTCAGTTTGATTGAACTGGGTAAATTGTCCCATATCTTTTTTTTAATTGTAATTAAGATAAGAATGAAAAGATAATAAAATAGAGTCAGTTAAATTTTCTGCTTGAGTATTATCTAGTTAAATTCTGAATCACAATCATTTAAAATTCCATCGCTTAAAAGAGAAGAGTAGATTTCACGCAGCAATAATTAACCAAAAGAATTACTGGAAAAACGGCACATCTAATAAATATAGTGATCATCCCCTTGGGCTTCACATTGATTACAATGAGGAAAGTAAATTAATAATTATATTGTATTTTCCCTGATTATCAGAATGTATTCAAAATATAAATATAACAAGTGGAAAAATCCGTTTGAATATTGAAATTTTCTAACTAACTTAAAAATTGATCCAAATGTTGCTATCGACGGGATAAATACAAAATAAAATGACAAAAACTTCGTATTATTGTCATATTTACGATTAGAAAAATAAATTTAAGAAAATCTAATAATGGAAATAAAAATTAAAAACAGTTAAATTGAACTTTATTATTATTAAATAGAAATAACAAAAGAAATATAAAAAACATTTTTTTAAATTCATATTTAAGATTAAAAAATAAATTTTATATAAAAATTACAAATGCAAAATAAAGCGGTCGTTGTTCAAGATGAATAACGATCGTTCCTCTCGATGCGTCGCTGAATCAATTTCAAGCGTGTTGACGCAGAAGGGTGTCGTTGGCGCCCGGTCGAATTCCTCCAGCCACCCTGCCAGAGTCGTTAGCATGCGTCGCGTCCCTTATAATGCATAATAGAGGGTGTAATTTTGAGTGATTGACACGCGTCTTCTTTCTGAGAAGGTCGCTCGCGTCATCACATCTTTCCGCTTTTGCGCCCGTGTAAACATATCACTCACTTTCAGTCTCTCATTCAATCTCTTATCTCTGCGGCTCATAATTAATGGACGCTGCACCCTTTCACCCTTTCTCGCCCTCTCTTTATCAGAGGTCCCGGATTTCTTCAAAACAGCCACGCATTCAGTGTTCAGTTCAGCAGTTCCTCTTTGCCGGCGGCGGCGGAAAAGCGGCGGCCTCTTATTTTTCCATGCGCGGATGTGTATTTCATTGGTAATTAATGAGCGCCCATTTATCTTTCCGCTTGATTAAAACATCGCCTGGAGAGCTTCCGAAGAAAAAGAGTTTTCTCACAAAGGAGCAGAAACGCACCTGCTTTATTCACCGTGAAAACTAATAGCGGAATATAGTAGTTCGGAAAATAAGCTTCTTATCTTCACAAAAAAAAAAAAAAATATTTTTCATTAAACGGATGAGCACGATTTATCTCATTAAAAAAGTTACGCAGACAACTTTAGTTACAATCAACGTGATCTCTGCTACACTCTATTATAAAATATATTTCTTTCAATTTTTTCATGTTAGCTAAATTTTTCTAACCATTTATTGCCGGATATATTTTCATGGCCAAAGTATGTCAGATAAATTTTGTTACCAAAATTTGAGTGCCCGGGGTATCTTTTTGTGGTATTGACCTGGAGCGCTACGCTTGATAATATTTATCCTTAAATTCAAAAGGACATATGACAATTGAATAATACGTACTCAAAAATACGTTGAGCAATTCAATCTTGTCCTAACAAGGGTTCCTCTCTTAAAATTTAATTTTCATTTGATCATCTAAATAAATATAATCTATTCTTTGATGTGAAAGTGGATAATGAACTGAGTTGAATCATGAACAAAAAAATATCTAAGTGCTTTTGAATTGCTCAAGGTAATTATTAATTTTTTTACCAATGAAGCTAATCAGGATTACCTTCCCTCTGGGAAAAAATTCATTGGGTGGCAAAAACCACCTGTGATGAAACGGCTTAAAAACTACAATTAAGCTGTGCCATTTTTTCTGGTCTCCTATTCAAGATCAGTCCGGTGATGTCATATGTTTATATTTTAATTTGTAAAACTAAATATAAACTATTGTGGCTCTTCAATTCAAAGATATTTTGTTTTAAGGAGAGGCTTTTGAAAAAAAAACGATTAATTGTGATGGCAATTTTACTCTACATATTATAATCATTGGATTTTTTTAAATCAGTTCCAAGGAGACAAAGTAGGAAAAATGGAATTTATTGATGGAACTGAATTTTTGAAATTTAGCATACTTTCTGATCGTAATTTTGTAGACTGATTTATTCTCAAAAATTGGTCAGAACAAAATAGATAAAAAAAAATACAAATCACGTTCATATCCCCCCAATTAATATGTAAAAAATAAAATCAATAGGTCAGGTGACTTTGATCTTGTCGGAAAAGGTTGAGAGGTTTTTTAACAAAATATAAGTGTATAAGTTTCCTGGACGAATTTTTTTTTAAATGCTTGTGGTTTCTTAGTTCCGATGCAGAATGTTTTTTTTATGCTGTTCAAGAGATCAATTTATGTTATGTACAGCTTTTTTGGCATCTAATGATATCCAGTCACTCATATATAGTTAAAATGAACCATATCCAACAATAAACGGTCAAAATGAGGATTTAGCTCTTTTGCTTTTTATCTCCTCTGGCACTTGGCATCTTTTCTACCTGACCGGCTATGGATTGAGCTCCATTGAAAGGAGCGCAGTTGAAATCATGAACAAAAAACTTTTCCTCTAAGAGCTTTTGAGCCGCTCAATGTCACTCTAGCTAGAGAAGGAGGTAATTATATTTTTTGCCCAAATTATTTCGTGATTTAGCAAATCAGGGCTCTTCCCTGGGGGGAAAAATTCATTAGGTGGTGAAAAGCCAGGTGGGCCTCTAATGAAACGCTGTCTAAAAACTACAATTAAATTGTGCAAAATTTGTTTATCTCAATGTCAACATCGGTGATGTAATTTGCGTATATTTTCATTCAAGAATAAAAATATTCAATATTGTGGTTCTTCGCAATTCAGATATATTTTTCTGCTGTGGTGCCAAAATGAAAAGACATTCATGTTTAAAATAAATTTAAGTGTAGATCAATGTTTGAATAACCCAGTTTTCAGAATAGAAAAAGTAACGTTAATGCTTTCGATTGTTTCTTTTTTTTCGGGAAAATGGTAAATTAAAATTTTAATCAACTATTTTAATCTTATTGATATTTCTTGTTGCAGATATTTTTGCGTGAAATTGTTTTGTGTTTACCAGAATCCTGAGATTATTATTACTATAATTTCTTTTAATAGCTTTTATTATTTTTTATAATATAATCGAAATAATTAAAAACTTTCAGTGTGAGTGTTTTTTTGAATGCTTTTTTTAATCTCTATTAATAATTCTTGCGTGAAACAGTAATTTAAAGCTTTTTTTTTAAGATTTAGAAAAATAAATATCTGAAAACTCTCTTTGAATTGTTAAAAATTACTTGCGTTCTTCACCCATCACAATTCAATTGTTTTCACCGCAAACTTCCCGTAATCAAATTTAGTAAACAACCTGTCTGATTGAATTTTAACAAAGTTTGGAGGAGTGATTATTCGCCTGGTTTCGTGTTCGCAGCACGCTGGAGGACCCGATTTCGAACCAAACGTTCCGCATGATGTACGCGCCCACGCACACCCGCGGCAGCCCTTACTTCATCGGCATGGCGTTCGGGTACCTCACCTTCCTCGCCAAGCACCAGAAATTCAAAGTTTCGCAGGTAATTTAAACTGTATTATTCCGCTTGAATGCGAACTCGGGAGAAGCGCGGATTTCGACTACACAAGGTAGAGAGAGATCGAAAGCAAAAGTATATATGCACGTGAATTTTCGGTCGATCGCCGGAATTGAGACTCTGCGTTCCTTTTGTGTGTCGAAATGACGACAAAGGACAAATAAGATTAGGGTGAATTTTGATACGGGTACTTTTTCTAATCAATTTTGGATTGGGATTTATATGAGCTACCGCCAATTCATTAATCCAAATTAAATAGAAATTTTGATAATTAAGTTTTACAGCTTTCATAGATTTAATTATTAAATTACTTAATTAGAAAGAAGAGAAAATATTTATTACAAAACTTTGATTTTGAACAATAACATTTAAAAAAAACGTGGCTTTATATATAGACGAAGTGGACGAACAAAAAATAATAAAAATTAACTTCAAATCTTACTTTCTATTTCCTATGATAGATGTAGTGAATCTCTTGCTCTTTTAATTTTGACAGATTTCCCCTATTTCTTTTTCCAATAATTTGAAAAATTTTGTACTATTTTTTTTACTATCCATTTACTATATTATAAATTTTCTTACATAAGCTATCAAAACTAAACTTGGCTACTTGAAATTATTAACCTCCGATTAAAAAAAAAATGATAAAAATATTACTTACACTTTGAGCGGAAATTCCGACGAAGATATGCAAGGCGCAAAAGAGCCAGCAGAAGAGGTGGGTTGCCATCGTCGCGACTCGACCAGAACTACAACACGAAATTGTATCTGGCAAATATTAACCTCTCCCGCATCGGTGCGAGATGTTGTTGCGAGTATATAGGAAACCCCCAACAAACTCGCTTTATAGGTGTGCCATATAAATTGTTACCAGACGAACGCGGAGAATGGAAGAAAGACCGATTATTAATGTGCCGAGAACGAGAAAGGGTATTAAAGAGGCGGCCAAGATGAACAGATTCCAATGTGAACTCTCGGATTCGCTGAATCGCACTTGCATTAAAATAAGTACAATTAATCGAGTGACAACAGGTTTCAAACCGCATTTTTAACTTTACCGTGAATTTAACTTCAGAAAAAAAAACATCTGAGGTATTGCAAGTCTGATTTTTATTCCCATTATATTTTTTTTTCGTGATTTAATTTTCAATATAATTAAATCATAAAATAATTTTGAAATTTGAATACCTTATTTCTCGTAATTTGGGTAATTAATTTGTATGTTTTAAACAAACCTAAAATAAGTCTCAATTTTTTAATTGAGAATTAATTTAATTCAAGAATACTAAACAAATTCTGATTTCACCTCTAAGTACAAGATATTGCTAAGAATAACCCAACACGATTAAGGTAGATGTCATAATTGAAAATGAAAGGGGAAGAACAGCATGTTACAGCATTGCACTGTACAATGTGATGTGGGCATGCCTGACATATGTGAATTTCATTATCACTTCATTTATTTGTCACTTTCGCTAGCGGCTACTTTCTCGAAAAAAATTCCCTAACCTTAATCAAAAAGAGCAAACTCGTCAAAACCTTATGAGTTCGATGAGCCACATTATTTAAAACTCAAGCAAATTTGAGTTTGTTCTTGTGAAACAAAAGCCTCACTGAGTTTTTTTCACCAACTTATAAAGTAAATTTGAAACTGTTGTTGTTAAATGCAAAACGTTTTAAAATAAAAAATTTTCAGTAAAATTGTCCTAACAAATTAAGAAATAATTAACAGCAAATTTATCACTTTTTTTTAAAGATTTACTTGTTAAATGTCAAGAATAATTTTCTGCCCTTCCGTATGACACGCAATATTACATAAACTCAGTAATGTATTTTCAAACAGATATCCACTCACAATCACACTTAAGTCAAGGTTGTAAATATTAAGTATGTTTGCTGCGTCCCTGCTAATAAGCTCCTGAGTAAATTTGCATGACTGTTTACCAATGTAACTAATATGTATATAAACATCTCAGGGCTTCAGCGTGACATATAGTTTAAAAAATTTAACTCTTCATATTATTAAATCAGTATTGCATCCATTTTCAATAACATGGTATTTTTTAATGAGAGTTAATCAAACATCGGTCTTTTTTTTGTTTGGCACTGAAAAGTATGATGCGTTATTTCTTCAGAATGTACTTGTACTTGTGACCTTTAAAAAAATGTACATTCTGGTACACTGACCCAAGGATATTGACTAATGTTAATGTAGGTGCAAAAACTCTCAGACTGGGCCGCGATTATATAGAATTTCACACATACTAAAAATTCACGAATACATGAAACACGAACATTTCAGAATTGGGACAGAGAAACATTATCATCTAATTCATATCTCAACTCACGTAAAAAATCAGGCAAAAATTGTGTCTGAAAAATTTCTAAAGTTTTGGAAAATATGAATTTTTAGAGGCTTTTTCCGTAGAGACCAACCATAGGCTAGGTGTGAGTATTCACAATGAATTGGCATTGCATTCAATGAAATCAGAAGTCTTTCCAATTATAATTATTAAAAATTTAAGTTCATCAACTAAAGTTATGTAAATTATACCGTTGCAATGAGGTTGGAAAAATAATTATTAGGGACGGCTTGACTTTAAAACTTACATTTGTTTTGAAATGCATTGGTATCACTTTTTACAACGTACCGCAAAGTTACCTCAAAGTGGAAGCAAAAACTTTCATTTTATTTTTTAATTATTCAACACTTAATTTAATAAGTAAATCGGGTTTAGCGCTAAATATCCGGCGCTCTCGTTCATCTTCCCCAAAAGTTCTCCACTCGCGTTGAGAAACAATGACATTTGCTAAAATTTATATTTCTATTAGTGAAAAATTTAACGGTCACCTTACAGATACGTATTAAATACCTCAACTGACAACGAATTGGAGAGGAAAAACTGATTTTATTATCCTAAATATTTAAAAAAAAATCCAGAGAAAAGCTTATTACTTTATGACGTGTTGATTTTTCTTTCCTTTCTTGATAAAAAATTACCAAAAACGGGTAAAAAATTTGATCTAAATTTTTAAATATCCGTTCCAACCTTGTTTAAAATTTTTGAAATGATAAAGAAGTAACATCTCTTTTATTTTTGCTTATTTAGCGCACCCGACGCATCTGCTGGTGGAGTTTGTCGGCATTGCCTGCCGCCTCGATGTTGTCTGCTTGGATATTCTACCTGCCAGGGCGCGAATACATCGCGCTTGAGGCGGCTGTCTACGGGGCCTTGCACAGGGTCGGCTGGAGTCTGGGCATCAGTTGGATTGTGTTCGCCGTCTGCACGGGCGGCAAAGGTAACCGGATTCTTACTCACTCTCGGGCGAACATAATTTGTTCATAAATACAAATCTTGGAAGACTCGGTCTCTATAGTCAAGGTCAAGTTAGGGCCAGATAAAATTAATCTGAACTGTCAAGAGCCCACAAGTGGGTTTTTTTCGCGTAGGCGCCTTATTGTTTTGATATAAATTAGGCGGTATATTTGTTTCTAAAAATACGCTCCGAATGAGGATTCGGCCCAGGCGCATTAAATATTCTAGGCAATTTTCCTTGTATTCAGAAGAATAAATTCAATTCAAACATGTTGACCTTCAAAGCGGAGGAAACAAAGAAGAATATTGGTTGACGAGTTAAAAGCGAAAGTGTGAACAAACAAATATTATATTTATCAAATATATTAAGAAAAATAAAATATAAATTGAATTTGAAGAGTTTTATAAATAAATTTCAATTCTCAAACTGAGATGGGAAACCAATTTTTAAAGGAGACAAAAAAATAAAGTCATTATAATTTAAAATATTTTAAAATTATTCTAGAAAAAAAAATCTTTCAACCCTTCATCATATAACAATTTTGATGCTATTTTTTTAATGCATCAAATTTCAGTTCGATTAAATTTTTTCTTAGTTAGTTGATTTTGTGGTTTTCTTGTTTTTCCTCGCTTCTTCTTTTTATACTTTTGTCAGTATTTTATATGAATAAAAAAATTGGCCGGTCCAACAAAAGTCTATCGATCACTGGAGATCATTATTTTATTAAAATTATTTGGCGGCTCCATTTCACGTTTATAAGTTGTGATCAATCAAGTTCAACATGTTATGATTTTTGTTGATTTCCGCAGGTGTGGTGAATCTCATGCTGAGCATGAAGCCCGTGATTGCCCTGAGCAGACTCACCTACTGCGCCTTCCTCTGCCACGGCGCCCTCCAACTTTACTCCGTCGCCACCATTCGAGTTCCCGTCTACATGAGCATTTTTTCTCTGGTTGGAAATAGTTTAACTAGCACAAATATTCGCAAAAATTTAATAAATTAACTTTTACGTAATATTGAATTTCGCACTGTGCTCTTCATGATTAAAACCGCAGAGTCGCGCTTCAATATGTTTTTTCTATTTTGTTGGTTGGCTTCGCGCGCGCTCCCCATCTCGCAGCAACTTTATGCTGCATCAGTAGTAAAATTTTATGGAGCAGAATGAGAGCAAAAGTTTTTTCTCCCTACACTCTTTTTAATGCACTCTTGTCGTTAAAAGAGTGTTTCTATCTGCCAGAAAAGAATATTTATCCTTTACTTTCTTACTTTCCATCAGCTGTGGATGACGATGGGTGACATTCTGATGGCCTTTTTCGGCGGCGCCCTCCTCTCCCTGCTTTTCGAGTCGCCATTCCTCGCCCTCGAAAAAATCCTCCTCAGGAAGAAGATCAAAGGTGATGATCTTTTGTTACATAAAATTTATTACAATTATCCGACAATCGTTTTGGCCCTTGCTGAGCCCATTTTGCAAAAAAATATTGATTTGTTGTGCGCTGCTTTTTTAATAAAAAATATTACAAATTTTTTTATTCCCAGAAACCATTGGCAAAGCGAGTGCCGAGTTGCCAGAATGTGACTCTTTAAACCAACCTATCACTGTTCTTCACCAGGATGAAACCCACCAAGCAAAGATCAATCACGGTTTGCAAGAAGAACCAATTGAAATTTACAGAAAAACGGAATGACAAATTTTTAATATTTTCCTATTTAAATTTTACATACATTATTACTTTTTTGGAAACAATTCAAGTATCTTTAAAAATATAATTAAAATTAAGCCACGACAAATAATTTGAGCAGGTGTGAAAACCATTGTCATAATAGTCTTTGAAAATTATCATCTCAAGTTAATTTCGAAAGCTTAATGTCAAATGGAATAAGGACACACATATTACTTGGTACATTTTAAATTTCCTTTTTCAGAACCTTGAATAAATTACTTTCTTGCTATTGCCAACTTTCAAATTTTAAAATATTTTACATTTAGAAACTTGAATTGATAAATTGTATGTCATATTCATTATAACCAGAGTGCATTTGTGGACTGCATTGTGTTTAAGTCTTTGCTTTTGTGATCTTCTTAAAAATCAAAACAATTTCAAACGCTTGAATTTACACTCTAAGGATATCCTTTAAAATTGTATGTGTGACCCACCATATAATTTAAATAAGTAATATAAATGCAAAAGTTTGTGTTGCCATTAGATAAAAAACTGAATGATAATTTTGATGCTTTATTGGAATTAGTGAAAGATTTTAATTGCGGAACCAAAACTTTTCCAGAAGACTTTACTAATCTCTTAGGCTGCACTAAATTTTGTAAACATTCTATATATTATGTGTCTATTTTTATACAATTTTATATCTTTCTCTCTTCAACTTACCGATGGGATAGTATTGAAGACAATTTTGTAAATAAAGTAAATTAAGAAACAAATTGATTTAGAGTGTAATTTTTTTTTATCCTAGTTTAATTTCATTGTCAGGCAAAACAAAAATACTGGAAATTTTTTTCATCAGTCTTCAAGGTGCATCACTTAATTTTCACTATCCCCAATTCTGTGGTTGAAAATTTTCAAAATCCCTGACGTGCACAGGTTGCAGAGATGGAGGCAAATTTTGGTGCATGCTGATTGACGGTGGCGGGGCCCAGACCACCCTGTTCACATTGTCCTCCGACCCGGAAGTGCAGGGCAGTTTGTGCTGCTCAAGAGCGGTTGATCGTTTTTGCAGCCAGTCGGTCAGGGATGGCTCTTCTGATTTTTTCCTTCGCTCTTCTTCAACTGCGGAAAAGTTTTCATTTAGTTACTCCCGGTTACTCCTTAAGATTTCGTTTGATTTTTAAATATGTCAAAAAAATACCCTGCTGACGGAAAAACTGCAGTTGGCCTGGGGAGTAGTGACTGAACCGACACATTGCTCCAAATTGGCAGTCACCATTGGCAAACCTCGAACACGTCCTTTTTGCACTTTCTTCTTGCAAGATTGTCGCCAAGTCTGCAATTCAGGCATAAATATTATTTAATATCACTGTTAAGAAAGGCTTCGAATTAAGTATAATTTATATGATCAAATAATGTTGATTTTTTTTCCAATTGAATGTTAAAACCAATTGATGACATCAAATTGCAATTATCAATTAATCATGGAAATGAAGAAATCGGGCTTGTCCTCGTTGTATTTATTCAAAAACAAAACGGCTAAATACAATTTTTTACAAAGAGAACAAGCCCCATTTCTTCATTTCCATTTATCATATACTCGAGTGTCAACTTCTTCCTCAGAGTTGGAGATATATATTTATTCAATTATGTGACTTCTTAAAGAAAAATTAATTAGTAATTTTAGACCAGAATTTTTTAGATATAAATCCCATTGAAAATTTACGCGTTTTCGATTTTCACAGTTTACATTTATGATAATTAATGCTGATCACACGATCCATGGAAATAAATTAATAAATTGACATTCAGTTTTTTTCAATATTATATTCTCTTTAATATACAAAATAAAGAACACATTTATATTTTATAAATAAATTAAATAATAATTAAAATTCAATTAATATAAAAATTTAAATATTGGTATTATTACTTTTTGTAAGTAAATAAAGGTAAGAGAAATATATAATTTACAATTGTATTTTAATGTTATTTAGTTTTACAAACAAAAAATTAAACTAACCTTTAAATTGGGCATGATATTCCTGCCGTGCTCTTTCATGGTGAAGAGATGATAGATGCTTTTTGATGGACACCACGTCGTTCTTGAAGGACTTTTCACAATAATCGCAATGATATCTGCGACCCATTATTTTTATTATATTTCGCAAAAATTGCAAAAGTTTTTAGGAGCGGTAGTGTTTACAACTTTTGTTGTGCTTCTTCCTCGATTTTGAACAATTTATTACTTCCATTCACTACGCGAGGGCAGCACCCAATTCAATTCAACTATTGATTATTTCTGGAGGCGCTCACCAGGTGCCGACACGGTTAACTTTCTGGCCCCCTGGTTTTCGCGCCTTTTTCTTTCGGCGCGAGGAGAAATAAGCAACGCACACAAATCTTTATACAAAGTAAATTTGAAGCCCATTTAATCATTTTTTTTTCAATGCTTTTTGTACCGACTTAAGGCTTATATTATGTTATCATGCAAATTAAAATTGAATTCCAGAAAAATTTACTGAGCTTTTAACAAATGCATTTTATTATTTTTAGTGTTTAAATAGGGTGTGGATTGGAATAACATTAAAAATCAGTATATTATTTTACCATTGTAAACATTTATTTTATAAAAGTATATAATGATATATACCAAAGTCGAGAGAAATACAATTGCAGTATCAATATTTACAATCAATGAACATTCTCAAAGCAAATCAACAATCACGTTTCTTTGCCGTTTTCCTCCAATAAACACTTTCTTCGCACGTATCAATATTTCAACAATTTTTCAGCGCAGACATTTTATAATACAGACAATCACAATTTCATTGAAGAGCATATTAAAGAATTTTTCTCGCGGCCTCGGCGTTTCCACCGCTGCGTCTCAAAAAAACACAAAAATATAAAACTTCGCCATCAAGAGTGTGCTTCTTTCATTTCCAAAAATACAATTTTCCAAAAGTCACAATAAGGCACTTTCCAAAAATTTCAGATGCGTTTGCATCTCCAGATCAAAAAGTGTTTGGAAACTTGAGACACGCGCGTGAGAACAAACAAAACTCGGCATATTTGATTTTCAATTCACGTCTACCAGCACATTAGCGCTACAATAATATGAGATCAAAAGACTCTCTTGGGTTACAACATCAAAATCGTGGTCCAAAAAAAGATGAAATTCTTCCCGAAAAATTTGATACATAGCGTTATTGAAGTGTTTCCCAGGAAGAGATCATCAATGTAAAATGTATCCAAAAATCAAACAAAAAGGAACAGCAAAAATTTACATAATTATGAAGAGCAGAGCTCCTTCCGAAAAACATTGAAAATTTGGTCGGCGAAAAGCTTGTTTTTCATTTAAGCGGGCAGAGAGATCAGTACAAAAAGTTGCTTTCCCTATTATAGTTTTGGATCATATCGCACTAACCCATTTGAATTTTAGCTGTGGACTCGAATAAAAATGAGCAAAAATAAAAAATAATAAAATTATGCAAAAAAAATCTGCGAGATCAGAAATTTGGCAAAAGTTGACGTGTGTTGATTTATCATTAAAAGCTAAAAAGATTTACTAATAAAATTCTGTTGGTGGTTCATACATATATGTAAAGGGAACATTTAATTACTGGTGGGGGAGTCTATATATGCACAATTATATAAGGGAGCACCCACTTACATCATAAGTGATAATCGTAATGGCCAATAAAGTCTCTTGGTTTGCTTGAGAACGTGTGAAATATTTTGGAATACTTTTTTCGAAAGGAAAACTTTAATACTCGGCACAAAAGAAATATTAAACTTAAATAAATTACAACCTTAATCGAACTACAAAGGAAAAGCAATTTGGTGCGAAAACCAAGTAATAATTTAATTACTATTAACAAACTGAGATAATCCGGAAAGCTGATTTAATAATAGGACAGCTCAGACGTCCGAGTCCACCCCACCGAGATCAGGCGGAGGCGAACGGCCGAGTAAGAATTAAATTTAGCGACGAACTAGCATTTAAGAAAACGCCCTCGGAAGGCGAGAAAATGGCAGTTTTACACAGAAAATGCCCCATATACTTAAGGATCTAATATGAACAAGGGCGCCGCGTATTTTGTTTTTATGAAAATCGCGGCTGAATCACAATTTGATCATTCATAGGGAGGTTGAGACCGAGGCGGCCTGCTGCGTCAAAAGTCTTTCAAGTTGAATTTCAGCAGGCGCATACCTATGTAGATGACGGTGGCCGAGTAGCTGAGCTTCTTCGGCAGGACCAGCGCCAGCAGACTTTGGATGAAGCTGGGTGTGTTGCGGGAAGTGTCAGACTGTCGAGCGGGAGAATTGCAACTCACGCGCTTCAGCTGTGAACAAAAATTTGAGGGGAAATTTAAAAACTAATTCCACACAGAAATTTAAAACACTTTTAAATCAAGTAATTAAAAAATGGTGAAATTTAAAGTTAATTTAATTTTGGAAAATTGGAAAATTTCGGTACTCACCCTGAAGTCGGACGAGATTTCGTCAGCGAGGCGCCGCAGGTTGTTGCCTACTTGGTGCCAGGATTGCGCCGATCGCGTCGCGGCGGCGCACGTGGTGGTTGCTGCTGGCACTGCGGACACTGCTGGGTTTGGGTTTGGTGCGTCTGGAGCAGCACATCTCGCAGCAACCGCAGCTGGAGGCGCGTGCGGTGGATTTGCGTGACAGCTGATGAGAGTTGGGTATGCAGAAAAAGCATCGTCGTCGTCGCCAACTGTTGTTCGCCAAGAAAAAGAAAGAAAAGAACGCTCGATAAGATTAAAACTCAACTTTGCTTAAATTTATCGTAACTTAAAATTTGCAAAATTATAGATCAAACAACAAAACAGGGAGTTTGGTACGAATAAAAATACTTATCAAATTTATAATTTTTTTAAATTTATTTATTTGTTCAAAGTTCAAACTTACTTCAAAACTAAAAAAAACTTAAAATTTACGATAAAGATTTGATCTCAGTAAAGAAATTATGCATTTTAAATAAAAATGGCAAAACAGGAAGGATCACCGAGCACCGATTACCGCCCGGCACGCAACCGAGTAGCCGCAGGTATGACCCTGACCGCGATCAAGCTCATTGTCAGGCTTGTAATTTTTTATTCAATTTCCAATTTTTAGAAATGATTACTTTTACTTGAGTTTAAAAATTTAGGGTCCACCACCAAAAATAAGCGTAAAGACACAAATGCCTACCTACTCGGTCAAAGTTGTCCTGGTGCGTGGAGGGCGCGACGGCCCTGACGGCCTCGACCAGCAGCTGAGGGTTGACGGCGTGCAGCGTCGGCTGCTGGCCATCGGCCGTTTCCTCCTCGTCGTCCTGGATGTACCAGTCGGACGGCTGTTGGAGTTGCTCCAACTGTCCGAGGGTGTCCACCAGGTCGGACAGGAGTTGCTGGGCGCGGGCCACGAGTGCGGCCCGCGGGTCGTGGTAGGTCGGCAGACGGAACGGAATCGCCATCTCTTCACTTTGCAGGTGGATATCGCGAATTCGACAGAGTTCGGCGAACACTAACTGACGGAGCAGAGCAGGTGTGCGATGCGAACGCAACGAGAGATCGAGTGTTTGTGTTTCACGACGGCGGTGGAGGGGCTTTTTATATTCGCGATCGCTCCGCCCCTCGTAGTAGAAGAGTCGCGGCAGCCGCGCACCGCACACCGTCCGCGGTCGGAAGCAAAACTTATATACGCACGGAAAAAGTACAGTAATTATGTCACTTGTTGGGCTCGGATTCGCTGCCCAAACTGGTTTTTTTATATCGGATGATCGGGTGATGTACCTGGACTTTGTTATGAGATATAATTAAACGATTACCATCTCATATGCAACCCAAGAATAGACTTATAAAAAAGTTGGACCGAAATAGATAATCAAATTAGGTTGCAAACTAACTTCGCTTTTTAATCTTTGATTACTCAGTGCAGAGCAAAATATCAAATTAATTACTGCGCAGTATTTAAAATCAATACATGCAACGCAATTGTGGTTTGGAAATTCAATTTTCTTCCAATTTGAAATTTTTTTCTCTTATACTTTTTACTTTAGGGATATTGCGTAATTGGAGGTCACCAACCTTACCCAACTTCCTTGTAATTACTTAAGGATATTTATAAGTTTATCTGAAAGTGTTAATGTATTAAAAAACCAGAAGACAATTCAATTTCACACTGACCTTAAAAAATTGTGTAAATATGAAATGCAATTTCTTAATTTGTTTAATTTTTTCAAACCAAATAACTAAATTATACTCAGCATAAAAGTTTTTTTTAAGCAGTTTACTATTTTTAGGTACCGGCGGTACAGCTAAGAAAAATTTAAATTATTGAAAATAATTAACCATAGACACAACAATTTGGAAGAAGCAATTTTAATTTCAACATTACTTAATCTCCTACTATCTATATGTTTTCTTAAATAAGTTTTTTTCAGGTACTTTAAATTATAGAATTTACTTTTCCTGTACTAATTCACTGGAAATATAGAAAAACGAAGAATATTTTATATATAATTCCCAAATTTTTAAATATATTGGTAAAAGAAAGAAATAAAATAAATTAATGCTCCCTAAATAATAATAAATTATTATTTTTAGCTTAATTTTAAATTTAAAGAGAACTAAAATAAAATCAAGAATTCATTGCTATCGTCTCAATTTTTCCATTTTTACGCTATATTCTCTATTGCGTCACTTTTTAAGTTTTTATTCTACACATTATTATAGTTCCTTGTCAGCACGAGCGACTTATTTCCCGCAGGCACGCAGCCCCGAATCGTATTACAAACACTTGCTCGTCGCTTCGTATACATATTTTTGAGAAAATCTCCGTCGCAAGGTGTTTATTATTTTTTGCCCGCGATGGAAAACGTCACATTTCAAAAGGGGCTCTCTTTTCTCGTGATGTGTTCTGCAGCGTGTATATCATGTGTGCAGCTCTAGTGCCCGCGTTTTGTACTCACTCGACCCATCTGCGTCTTGATGAGAGTGAAATTGTACACACTCCCCAGCAGCAGAAGCAGCAGCACGCCTCGGCGTTCAAAACAAATATACAGCCCCACGCGATTAAAGCAGAAAAGCGGCGAACGCCAATTAAAAGCGTAAATCTCGGCGTGGCCGAGAAATTTAGAGAAAATAAAAGGCGCACGCTGAAATAACAAAATTCGTATAGGGTTGCGTCAGCTTTTGGGGGATTTCAACGCCGGTTGCCTAACCACCCGAAATTCAGCAAACCAAAATATTGCTAACGTGGGGGAATGGATCATTTAAAAAATGACTTATTTATTAGAATAAAGTTAAAATGCACATCAGAAACCTTTATTTGTTCCGAAATAAGAGCACGTAAAAAGTTTTTTTTTCAAATTAATTTTTGTGACCTAATCTTTTAGAAGAAAACACTTATTTTGCAAAGACGAGCAAAAGGTTCAACCATTCATACAGATTTTTTCATCATCAAAAATTTAATAATAAAATTTAAGCAATTTGTTTTTCAAAAATCATGATTTTACTACAGAATAAGATTTTTAATCTCTTTTTATTTCCGCACATAGCAAATTTTTAAAGCGCAGAAATTAATTTATTTTTCACCTTATTTCACTTTTTATCCCCAAAAATTGTCTTTTATTTTCAACCCTAAAAGCAACTAAGCACCTATTTTGCCCAAAATTTACCATTCTTTGCGTAAAACTTTAGCCGCTATAATATTTTGTTTCCGAATACAAGACTTTTTTTAATTATCTCTAGCTCAGGGTTGCCTCATTATCATCTCATGCGACTGTTCATGGAGACAAGTCGTCATCGCCGGAGCAGACTGCACGGCACCACATTCCCTGTGTTGACAACTTGACAATAATAAAAAGCACGCGTCACACTTGAAGGACGAACTGTGGGAGGGGCGGTTATCAAATTCGTATCATGTGTAATTCAATTATTAATCGATCGCTTATCAAAGTTTGCCTTCGAACCGGATCAAATTTTTTAATTTTTTTCGGCGTCGTGCATTCTGGATTGCCTTAAAAGGTGCAAAATCATAGCCCGCGTGCGTCAATTAGAAAACTTTGAGATTAAATTCCAAGGTGGGATTTCGGTGGCTAAAAATAAAACAAATCATACACAAACGTCAGATAAATAGGAGAAGAAGTGCGCAGTTAATAAAAACGAGAGCTTTATAAGAGAAAAATTATTGAGTCACGCCTTCCGAATCGCTTGACTCATCCTCTCTGTGCCGCCGTGTAAAACGGTACCTTTTCCCTTTCGATATATTTGTGCCGAGCACATGAGCGGGCGCCTAAATAGCTGCTTGCTGAGGGCACGAGAATTGCGAGAAAAATATAATGGAGGATAAATAATGGAAAACTATATAATTTGAGTGTGTAACAGGAAACAATGGCGTCTTTAACAAGAAATAAATAATAACAAACTAACCGGGAAGAATATGAGAAAAAACTGCGCTTTGATTTCCTGTTAATTTTATATATCCTTTATAAACCAAAACGCACAATAGAAATTTGGATTAAAAAACTGAATCAATATAGAAATCTCGGAAATACTAAAAATCAATATTTGGAAAATGGAATTAAAATCCAATATTAGGAAAATAATATACTTAATAAAAAATAGAGATCAACAAAACAACTTTGTTGTAAAAAGTTTTAATTTTCATACAATTTATTTAATTTTATCCTAATTGCTTCTGAATTTTTTATTATTTACTTTTACTTTTTTGGCTTTGTTTTTGACATGGGGTGTTGCATGAATCATCAACCTCACCGTCCACGTGCACAGGTATGTATTACGCCTCTGCTTTGTCACTTTCTCGCTTCGGCCGGGTTTTAGCTCATGCCTGTGACTCGATGATGCGCTTCTCTTTATTGCTCTATGGATGAACGACATTGAACTTCGCAATTAGGGCAGTGAGGCTTATTTTCATTATCAGCGCCTGCAGTGACCCACTTGCAGCAAACATGCACCGACGCAAAGTGCAGCTAGATTGCAAAAATAATCATTTTTTATCGCACCGGGGTGCATCAGGTGCACACCATGCGAAATCTATCTCTCGGCAGCTCACGTGCGTGACTCACCATTCAAATAAACAGCAAATTTTCAGGCAATTCAATATACCATGTGGAAATAAAATGTCACGGTTATTTCTTTGAATATTTACATTACTTCATGAAAAATTTGAGCACAAAATTAATAAGTAATTAAAATAGTAAAAGATTGTGCGATAAATAGCAAGATTAGTAGGACTTATTTAAAATCTAAAAGGAGTTTTTGTAATATCCTGATATAATGTTAATTTTAATTATTAGAATAAAATTTAAATAAATTTCATCTATATTATTGCTCAATTTTCGTCCAAATTTCTCAAATTTTCATCAATCGAATTTTTTCATGCCATATTGCGAAAAATTACAATATAAAAAATATTTTTACTCATTTTAAAATTTTTATCCTAAATTTTCAGTTTTAAAATTCCCTGTTCAAAACCATCTTTTAATGATTGGAAGAAGCGAATTGCGTGACAGCAGGCAAATCCAGCATGGCAACAAACCCTTTTTCTCACTCGGCGCTGGAGAGCAAAAGAAAGAGAGAGGGTTGGTTGTTTTTCACTTTCAGCCTCTCTCGCGTCTTGCACCCTCGCTTTTGTACACAAATCACGACCCTCAGGGCACTTTATACTTTCCAGTTTTTTCCTTTGTGCGTTTTCGCTTCTCGAACGAAGCGTGAGTCACCGCAGGCCCATATGTGTCGTTGAAAATTTACTTCATACGAATTCGTCCTGTCCCTTTCTGCATACCTGGAAATTTCGTCGCAAGCGAAAACTACGCGTGAATAAAATTTATTAGTCAGCATTGATATGCGATTGTCCGGTGCAAAAAAAAAAATAATATTACATTCAAGTACCGTTATAAGTTGCATTTGCCGTATGCACAGGAAACACGTGCACCTCATTTGTGCATGTGAAAATTGCATTATGGGTCACTCTCTCTGACTGCATCGTGAATGCAAGTGTGTGTGAAATAATTATTTCACTCTCTGCGATATATAATGTTTTCCATCACGGATGGGAAACGACTAGGGCAGCGCGACAAAGGACGGCAGAGACTCATTTGCATGCGAGATGAAATGCATAATCACACCTCGCTCATTACCGTGTGCGAGCTGGAGAGCACAAAGGGGTGCTGAGAAAGGCAAGGGTGATTGATAAGTCGCAGCAGAGGTGACAGCAGAAAAGATAAAAAGATTTAAGAGAGATGAGCAAATAAAAGGCAGAAAGAGCAGAGAGGTGCAAAATATCAGCGAGAGGGATTTAATAAGGGCAGAAACAGATTGGTAATCAGACGAAGCAAAAACAAAATTTTTGATGTTCATTAAAATAAATGCTGAAATTAATTTAAAGGTCGATTGTAGTAAAAAAAAACCCCATTCAAATGTCAAATCTTATCTAATCTAATCTAATCTATGAAGACCTTTTTTCTTTGGTAAAAAGCTAATATTTTTTTTTTTTTACATTTTTTAAAATGAAATTGCACTGAATAATATCATTTGAATTGAGATGACTCATGTATCCGAGAGATTTAATGTAAAAGCCATCCGCGGGCTAAAATACCGCTATAGCAAATATATACACGCCGCGGTCACTTTTTGTTGTCCGCAACAAGCTTGACTTCATGATGTGTGATAAACGTTGTTCTTCGCAAAAGCACCACTGAGACTTCACTATTTTTAAATAAAAACTTCCCTTTCCACATAAATAATCAGAATTAATATTTGAAATAAATATTTTAATGAATATCCCGTCACTTCACCTTAATCTTGACTTTTCATTTCACTGCCAGTATTTTTAAATTGAAAATTGAAGAAAGATTGCATAACATTTGTCATCAACAATGCTTTTCTTTATTCCTTTCTCCGTCTCCTCTCGCGCGATTAGCATCCGCCTCCAGCTCTGTAATACTTGTTGACATTGGCACTGATTTGCTAACACCTAACGGTACCTTCCTTATTTATATAGACCTAATGGGACTTGGCAGTGGCCGGTTCATTCGTCCGCGTGTCTCTTTATTATATGCCTTTTTTCTGTTGTCGCGTGTGTGCGTCAGCGAAAGTATATAATTATACCTTGCAGAAGCACGTCGTGGCTTTTTGTTTCCGAGTGTGAATGTTTGTGTGCGATGATGATGATGTGATCGCGACGTAACGCAGAAGGAAACGGGCAATAAAATGGTGAAAACAAAAAGTCTCGTAAAAGTAGATCGGCCTTGGGAGAAAGAGGAGATAGATTGTTTTGTGTTGTCTCACGATGTAGAAAATTGAGCGATTGACGTCAAAAGAAAGACCCCGGTGAATATTATTTCTGATAAAAGAAACGCATCGGTCTTACCTGGTTGAATTTTGCTCCGGCTCAAGCACCGCAGCTCCTGAAACATTAAATAAACGGAAAGTGATGAGCAACGAAAAAGAAATGCATATACAGTGATTTTGAGTCACATTTCTCTCTTTCACGCAACGGAATTATACGGGAACAATTAAGAATGTACTAGATGAGAAAATATGATGTCAATGAGAGCATCAAAAATTATATAAAATGCGTGGCAAAGAGTGAAAAAGAAATAAAAAAACTTTCAAAACTTTTGCTGCAAAAAATTAAAATAGGCAGACTATTTTTATTTTATTCAAATTCCGTCAGCGTTTTGGTGTAGGATTATAAATAATGAAATATAAATTTGATGCAAAATAATATAATTATGCTGGAGGGGTAGCAGCATTTTTTTACATTAATAATTTATTTATTTTTCAAATATTTTTTACTATGGCAAAAAAAAGCCCGACTTCCACATCTTATACATTCGGCTTTGCAATGTCCTGAAATTTTTAAATTGACTTTAGTTTTTAATTTGTTTTAATTTAAAAAGCTAAATTTAATTAATTTAGCTATTGCGTATCCTTTTAATATTATGCAAATAAAATTATTTCACCTTTGTCAACGCGATGAGTTAAGACAATATTGGTCATTGAAATTGCCACAGCAATGCCAGAATGCTCAGTAAATTGGAATATTAAAAAATAACTTCAGGAATATTAAATTTTTATAAAGCAGAGTCATTAAATCTGAATCCAGGAAAACAATTGTCTAATTTTACCAAAACGCTATGTATATAATTACGTTTCAGAAATCTCGCATTAGAAAATGTGATACGCAAATTTTCGCGGAAAAGCGCGCTATTATTCAAAAGCATTGTGTGCGTATAAATGTAATGAAGTGCATTTCAATGTACTCTTCCATTAAAAAGGTCACGCACCGCACTCAATTTATTTTCTCCATTATTCCACGTCGTTGGAAAAAAATGAGTCAAACTTGAAGAGTGGCGCACAGATGCATCACCTCATACAATTAATTAACAGGCTCTTTTTTTCAATTGCGCCTCGTCTCGCTCCCTTGCCCGGCGAAAATGCAAAAAATTATACACATACGATAAAACCGCGTGTGTTTCGAGTTCTCGTTATTCTCGAATCGCTCGACCGTGTCGCGTACACATAAAATATACGCGAGCAAACAATTAAACTGGCGACGTGACCTTTCAGTGGCGGCGCCTCCCTGCCGCGGTTCGGCCTGTCGTGAACCCTTTTCAGCGCAGGTTCGGACGCGTGTCGTGGGCGTGCTTCTTAAAAAAAGTACACAAGGAGGATTTCCGCCCGTTTGCACGGGTGTCATCGAATTTAATTAGAGGCACACTTAAGATCACCGCACGCACGACGTGTGCCGCCGGAGACAAATTTTACTGCAATTTATTTCCGCAAAACGAGGAAAACCGCGGAATTGAAACAAAATGAGCTCTTTTGAGTTAATGACCGGCGGGTTACGCAGAAAAGCGTTAGAATTGTTTGAGACGCAGTTGAAGCTTTTAAATTTGGCTCTTTTATTTCATATTTATTTGAAGGGGGGGGGGATTTAAAATGCAGACTTGAATTAAAATTGTATTAAAATTTTAATGCAATAAGGAAAAATAAGCTGCCAAGATTTTTTTTTTTTTTTTGAAATATAAATAGGCATTAAATAAACAAAAAGTTGTTAACTGCCAAACAAAACAAAATATAAAATATTTCCGCAGAAAGTGCTATAGTTAAATAAGAAGAATGCAGTTCAAATAACTAAAATTTCTCGATTCAAAGAATATATTTTTAATATAAATTAATATTGGCTAAAATCATAGTGACTCGGCTTTTCCCGATGCGTTTCATTGTTTTCCAATGTGATGTTTATGCCGTTTCTGCGTTGTTATATTAAGTATATTAATATCCCTGCAAAAAACAAATCGTCCTCCTATAATTCTTCGTTCCTGCTGGTTCCTTCGAAGAAAAAAAAATTGTTCCAAAATATTTTTAAGCTTTTGATTATAAACAACAAAAGAAAGTATTTATAATTTGTTTACCCTAAGCTGAAATCTAGTTGAATATAACTCTTTTCAGGGTTGGGAGGAAAGTGTCAGCTGTGCATCCTGCGTGGTTAATTTTTTGTGATTTTTGCACATTTATATTACTCTGTTTTTTTTTAAATTTTTTTTTCAAGAAAGTAAACAAAAACAAATAAAAACTGACACCTTTTCTCGTTTCTCTCCCCCAAACAGCAGCAAAACCAACACCAATTTCACGTTCTAAAGCAATAAATCTTTTCTGATCAACAAACTCTATTTTTCAGAAGATCGTGCGTCTCTTTCTGGTTTGGATTATCATGAGCCCTTAGATAAATTTGATGCTTGGGGCGATTTTTCCGGGCGTCGTGACCGAATTTAGGGCTCCTTCTTCAGTCCCTCGCGTGTGTTTATATTATTATATATTACTCGAGGCGTGAGCCACGACCTCTCTTCTGCTGCTAATCAATAATGCCCCCGCCCCCGAGGTGAGAAACGCATATAAAATACACAATCTCTGCACCAAAGGCGCAGAGCAAGTAAATGATACGTTTCACGCCTCAAATTATGCTTCGATACACGAGAGAAAGAGAAGCAACGGAGGCCACTAGGTGATTATTTTAACACCTTGAACGACTGATTTTTAAATCATAACTGTTCGTCAGCGACCGAGACGCCCTGCTTGTTTCTTTCCTAATTTATTCTAATTTGGAAGGAAGTTTCTATCAGTAAATAATACGTAGGTCTAATCATTTTTTAGTGAATCGCATTTTTTGTATGCTGCAATATTAAATATCAATAATGGGTTAATGTTGTACTATATTATGTAAAAATGCCAACAATGAAATTAAAATTTGTCCAAAATTAATAACTAAACAGGAATAAATTCGTTGAATGAAATGGTATGTGTGGTTATGATATGCTGTGATAAATAAATAACATTACTAAACATCTCATAATATGAATTCCATAACCCTTTAATAATGTCATACCAAATAATATGAAAACAGTAACCAAATTGGTGCAACCAGCGGATATAATTTATTTTCATTACAGTTCACAAGCATTGACATCTCTGGAAACTTATTTATCCATGATAAGATAAAAAATTTATGTATGTAGCTAAATTTTTCTTTAAATATCAAATAAATAATGGAATTAAATCGACCACTTTTAAAATTAATAATAATATATGAAATTACATTTAAAACAAAAAAAATAGTTTATTTTTATTTAATAATATCATAATGTGAATCCGATATAATTTTTATTCAATTTTATTGTTAAGTAACTGTATTTTTTGCTTAATTTAATATTTGCAGCGCAATTACATATTAAAATATTATGCAATACAGAAAATATTATATCGTCCCCTGTATCTGCCCTGCAGTATTATGCGTGAACTGTGATCTCGGTTTAAAACGTAAACAAAGGAGTTCTTGATTGTGATGCGCATCGGCAAATTTTATCACTTTCACAGATCGTATAAACAGACCCTTATAGTCTCACACTCGAGCATTTCTGAGTTTTGACGCTTGAAGTACCCCGGCGATTTTATTTATAAATGCATTTACACCTCTGGTCCATTAAAAGAAGCTTTAAATCTGAAATTTATTTTATTATGGAAAACGGTCGCATTTCTCACACAGTGGAGCGTTATTTAGAGAATAAAAGAGGGACAGATTATGATGCTTTAATATATTTTATTATTTCCGAGCGAGGACACCTGTGCGTGCAGCGAGTTGCAGGGCATGTGTTGCACTTTGTGAAATCATACACGATAAATCTCCCCCGAAAAGCGACCGACCGAAATAAAGAATGGCAGAGAGCAGAGGCTTTTTACAACCGCATTTAGCAGGTGAATTATTCCATCAGGGCGCTACTATGAAGCGAATAAGAGGGGAGACGAGCGTCGTATTTATGCGTTTTTACGAGGCCAGCAAGACCCCCTTTGAACAGAATTAGGGAGCGAGAGAAAACAAATGACTGAAGAGAGATGAGAAAATTTATATTAAATTTATTTGAATACGCAGAAAAAATTTATTAAAGGGCAGATGTGCGAGTTTTTGTTCTAATAAATGCGGTTTCCCACATAATTAACAAACCTAGTTTTGACACTGATGACTTTGCTAATTAAACGTTACCGTTTTAATTAAAAATCTGAGACGCGAGCTCGATATGCAAATGAGCTGCAGCGCGAGACACTTTAATATTTTGTCAGCTTCCCGCTGTGCGCAGGAGAGAAACGAGTTTTCATCTCTCTCCGTGTTTCTTTCTCTCTTTTTATTTTATACTTGTTTCAATTTACAGGTCCATAAAACACGCTCTTTGTTTGTCTGGCTGCTGCTGGGCATTTAATAATCTTTCTCAGGTGAATGCAGATGAGCTTGGAAAAATTATCGTCGGCCGGGGTCAAAATCTTTTTTCCCTTTTTTATTTTGGTTGCAGGCCAAGCGAACGTACACACAACAAAATCCGGCGGGTCATCAATCAATCCGGTGAGTGTCGTCGCTGGTGAAGAAGCTAACCCTTTTTCTTATATTCTCTTTAGTGCCCACTTTTTATTTGTAACAGCCTGTTTTTAATGTCAATACACATTTTGTTTGCTTTTTATGGCGCGCATTTTGGTTTTATGCATCCGTCCCTATAAAAGCCGCGCAGGGACCTTATTTGCATTTTTATTTATATAAGACGATATATTTTTTTTTTTCATTCGTCTCGACAAAAGAATTGCGAAAGCACACATGGCACAAAAAAGAATAATAATCCACTCAACACGATAAGAGCTGAAGCTGAAGGACCCCACCCTCTTATTTTCACTCAAGTGATGCAGGCTGCATCACTCTGTGCGGAGAAAAAAAAAGAGTCTCAATCGACGTCAGGCAAGATCAACGCGTAGATAAAGAGAGGCAACATGCTCCAGGTGACCCGGGTTGCATATCCGATTACTTGTGCGCGCTCATTTGGTTGCAACAAAGTGATGATTGTTTCCGAGAGCAGGGCAGGAG